AGAATTAATTAAGTTTGTGATACAATATATTAAAAATATAAATATTAATATAGATGGGGAGAAAGAAAAAGAATAAGACAGAATCAGTTGTTTCTTCAACTGATGAAGAAAAAGAAGAAATTGTTAAAGAAACATCAGTTATTGAGTTTGCTTGTCCAATGTGTAAAAAAATCTTAGAAATGAAAAATGAATTAGAAATACAAAAGAAAGGAAACTGTAAATGTTCGTGTATTCCAACAAGTTTCAAAATAAGTAGAAATGATAAGAAAATGAATATTGATAAAACTAAAGACAGTATAAACTTAGAAACAGATGTTCATAATATAGCTATACGATTTGGGAGGGGGGTTACTCCGTCAGATAATGGTGAAAAGGAAACTCAGGAAACTGTTAAACAAATAATGAAAAATTAGTATTTAAAGAGTAGATTTAACATAATTGCAACATTTAGTTTTAAAAGTTTAGTTTTATAATTTAGTATATATTTTACATGGCTGAAGGATTAGATAAGATTGTTAAACAACTAAAAAAGGTTTTAGAACAGAATAATAATATTTTGGAAATCTTACAAGAAATGGAAAAGAAGAAACCATTCACAAACAGTTATCAAAGTAAAGAAGTAGATAGAACCAGTGGCGAATTTAAAAATAAGAAACAAGTGTATTTAAACAAACTCAACAACAAAGAGATAAAAGAGCCGAAGTCCTCCACTATGGCATTTTATCAAATTGACTATGATGAAGATACAGGGGTTTATTCATAATATAACGATATATTGAGAAAATAAAAGACCGCACACATACATGTTTGATTTGTAATTGTTGTGTGTCTTGGAGGGCAAAAGCAAGACACGAAAAAACTTTGAAACACCAAAATTATTTAAACGAACTTAATAACAAAGAAATTACAGAACCGAAGCAATCAACAATGGATTATGACAAAATAGAATATGACAAGGAACTGAAACTTTATGTTTAATCATTAACTAACAAAATTTCGTGTCTCAAAAGCGGTTTGTTTATTCCTGCTACTTTGTAAGTTTTATTACCCATAATATCATATTCAATTTTATCGATATTGAATATTTTATTAGACCATTTAGAGTTATACTCCTTTCTGTCGGTGTAATTACCCCTTTTCTTTTGAAACACTTTTACCTTGTCGTTCTCCACTATTCTGGGATACTTTCTTTTGTTTTTTCTCGTAGTTTAAGATTGACCTTTACATTTATTTCATTGTCGTCCTTGTGTGCTTCAGACGGTGTCATCCTTGTTGATGAGTGTGATGTGCTGTTATACTGTTTCAATGCCGGCGTTAGGGCGTCGGTCCATTTCATGTTGTTAAACCTAACTCTATCGTGAATTTTGTTTTTCATCGTTCTAATAAAACGCTCGGCCACATTTGCGTGGGTCTTCGTGACGATGTGGTTTATTCCTTCACTGTTGAAGAAATCCTGAACTTGATTTTTAGTTGCAAACGCTCCGTCGTCATCAGAATACACGGACATCGGATAACCCATCTTTTTAAAGCTTGTTCTCAACGCCTTCAAAACGTGCTCTCCGTCTCTTTCCTCCATCGGTATTACATCTGCTAATTTACTGAAGATGTCAATCACGACTAAAGCATACTGTGGAACGTTCTTGTCTTTTGCTAAAGGAGACATATGCATTATGTCTATTTGATATTCATATCGTGCGAATGGAGCGGTATAGGAATTAGTTCCTCTATAATTTTTGATTTGTTTATTTGGTTGTTTCTTTAAGAAAGACTTTACATCGTCTAATGTTATTGTTGGGTCTTCTTCCTTTGCCTTCTTGTGTGTCGCTTGTGTGCTTCCGAAACCCTCGTCTAAGTCGTAATAGATGTTGCTGATTATTTGGTCTTTTGTTAATCTCGCCATTATATTAAATTGTTAGAAAATATTTTTTCAATATAAAGCCCCACCCCTTAACATAAAATACAAACTACTTAAAGAAAAATGGATATAATATAGTAAGAAAAAAAATGACACTGTTTAATTATGATAATTGTCCATGTAAAAATAAAAAATGTAAGTCTGTCGTGGCACTAGCTAATATTTTACCTGTTAATGTTTGTAATCTTATAGGTGGTTATATTAAACCAACATGTTTTGATTGTTGGTATTTGAGAGATGAAGAAGAACATTTTATGAGAAATAAAGACATTCCTGAAGAAGGTCTGGAAAAAGCAGAGCTTCAGTTAAAGATTATTGAACAAATGCTAAATAACGATATTACTTGTCTAACAGTAATCCCTTTTGTTAACAAACAATACAGAAAAAGAATTGACAGAATATTTAATAAACAAGAGGTTAAAGAAAGATTTAAAACAAGAAAAATGTATTATCAAGGATTAAAATCATATTGTAAGAATAATCAAGAAGAAGTTACTGTACTTTTAAAAAATTGTCTTAAAATTGAAGAATTAAAGTTTATCAAAAATAGTGATTTGTTCTTTCCTAACCTAAACAATTGGTGGTCATATAGAAATAACAATTATTATATGAGAAACATATTAAGCGACTTAATTGAAATTTACACAGACCAATTAATAAAAGGATACGAGCATTATTGTTGTGAGTATAGTATGAGTTGTTATAGTGGTTGTATCGCTGGTGAGATTGAATACGGGTCAAATTAACTTTTGTTTATTAATATTATTATCTTATAATATGATTAAACATTGTTTTATAATCTAACAAGAAGGTTAAGACATTTAAATTAAACCTGAAACCCAGACCAGCCGACCAGCAACCCCCTAGCCAAAACTACTTAAAGAAATATTACCTTATATATTAAGAGAAAAATGAACGGTGATGGAATCAATAATTATATCGATAAAAAATGCTATGATTGTTGTCACTTCAAAAAAGAAAATATGGAATTGTATAAATTGAGTTTACCTAATGAAATAGTGAATAATATTATTAATTATTCAATGGATGGTGAAGAAGACATATGTAAAAATTGTAAAACTTGGAGAGATAATCAATTTTTAATCAAATGTCTGTTGGGAATAAAAAGAATACATAATAGAAATGTAGAAGATGATATTTTAATATTTCTAACTGTAAATAAAATACCACCTTACGATTATGTTAAACAGTTTCTTAAAATCAGTAAGAAAAAATATGACACGATTTACGATATATTATGGATGTTGGGTTATAGTCAAGAGAAAGGAGAAGATGTTAAAGAAAATATCAAATTATTTATTGAAAGTAAAAAGTTTAATATTCAAAATACATTGAGAGATATTAATATTATTTTTAAAATGATGTATGAAAGAAGAAAGATTTGTCAATTAAATTATTATCCTGTACTGAAATTATAATCATAATATAATAATAACATGTAAAATCTTATATGTTATAATTATACTGAACTTTTAACCTATAAAACCCCTTAAACTTATCTAAATAAATAACCCCTTAAACATATAGAGACCAATGACAGACAAAAAGCAATGTTCCAAATGTGAAGTCTTTCAATTGTTAGAAAAGTTCAACGAAGGAAGAAAACAATGTAATGTATGCTTGGAGAGCAAACGACGGTATAGAGAAGCACACAAAGAACAAATACAACAAAAGGCAAAGGAGTATTACGAAAACAACAAAGAACAAATAGCAGATAAGAATAAGACATATAGAGAGAATAACAAAGACACTTTAAAAGAACAGAAAAAGAACTATCGTGAAAACCATAAAGACGAATTAAAACAAAAAGCAAAAGAATATAGAGAAAAGAACAAAGAAGACATAAATGAAAAACAGAAAGACTATAACCAATTGAAAGTAGAATGTCCTTTATGTAAATGCTTGGTAGGAAAATACAGAATGAAAAAACACCAACAAACAAGTAAGCACCAACTAAGAGTGAAAGGTCAAGAAAACAATAACGATACTGTGAGAGAATACATGGAAACAACAAGTGACTTTGAACAAGAATAGGAATAATCAAATGAACCACCAACACCCTAGAACTTGATAACTACTAAAAGGGTCAACTCTTTCAAATGAAAAAAATGTCGGCCCCCAGAAAATCCACCCCTAACACCCTACAACAAAATATAGGAAGAAATCAAACAAGGGTGTTAAAACGTTGGATAACAACATTTGACCCAATAACCCCTACACTCCTCCCTCTTCCCCCCAGGCCCCCTACTTTCTCCATTTTTTGGGGGGGGGGGGGTGAGGCAACTTTGCTTTCAGGGTCAAACAAAACAAACCCCCAGCTTCTCCTCGCTGAAAATGCTAAAGATTTGCAAGACGATGGAAGGTAGCCCCCCTTCACAGGGCGTTGAAAACCCCTACAGGGTTAGGGTTGGCTGATTGGAGCCACCGTCAATTGTCTATAGCATCACGTGTATCGTAATGTGTGCTTCATCTCAGCCAGCTATGACACCTGCAGAAAACATGCATCCCATGTCCCATGCTGGACCCAGTTGGCGCTTGCCAGCACGATGCAGCCTGTCTCCAAGACCGATGCAAGCTGCACTTGCGCCACATGACCATCACGATGGATAGCATTCATCAATCATGTGAATGCAGCATGCGCTGCACTGTACATGTGCCACACGTGACATTCATTGACAACATCGTCCATATGAGTGGGGCAGGCAATCCATTGCGTAAGCAAAATGCAGGCACAACCGTTGTCCAGAATATTTCGACTGCGGCTCGGCAAGACTGACACGTGTCCATCAGATGTGTTGCCCCCAATGGTGCAAGCAATGGTAAATCAACACTGATGAGTCTGATGTACAAGGGGGAAGTGCAAGCCGCAGCGAACGAGGCATCTCCTTGTCAATCAGGGGTTTGAGAATCGGGCTGGCAAATCCACCTGAGCCATAAAAGTTTACTATCACCCTTCTAAACATGGTAAGTCTAGTGAGTCCCCTGATTTCTGTGGCAAATTTCGGGAGTCCCTCCACGTCCCTCCCAAATGAACCATAGCTCTCCATTTATTGGTCCCGGGCGCGGGCACAAGGTGCGGCTGGCGCACACCCAGATCGGGATGCGGCCTTTGAGGCCATAGTTCACGTGCGGCTCCAGCATCGAGGCATCCAAATGCATGGAGATCTTGGAGGGCACCTAGCGCAAGACATGTTGCGAGAAACCACCGGGGTTGGTTTGAAGGAACGCCAACGGGAATCATCCATTTGGGGGGGGGGGGGGTGATTCTCCTGATTTGGCGCATACCCCCTGTTTGAATCTTCATTCTCAAAGCGCGTTTGGTCGTGTTGTCTCCAAAGTTGTCCGAACCTGCCTTCAACACGTGAAGCTTCATGTAGAGCAGGATGCACTTGAACAGCGTGCCTTGGACAAACTTTCTCAATGGACAAGTTCGTGCAATTTCCAAAGTGGGGCTCTCACTCAGTTGTTCATGCACTGAAAGTAGACCTTGCATGTATAAATCGACCACAACTTTGCTTTTGGTGTTGGGGACCTCAACTCCCTGCCAGGTGACTGAGCCGGAAGTTTCTGTCCCCCAGCTCCGGCCGCCTGCGGGCAAATGGGTGGTTTGCCCGGGGAAAATGGCGATGGCTGAGGCTGTTTGGCCCAAAAACGACTTGAACCCAACCCGGCAACAGTTGAGCAACGATATGCCCGCCTCATCCGCATAATGCTGCACTTTGCAGTTGTTCATATTAGGTTGCCAATAGCTGGGATCAAAAGCAACTGTCCTCCTTTGCACACTTCCTGCAAGTGCTCTCTGAGGACAGTAGCAGCATCATTATTTTTGGCCACAAATGGCAAGCTCTTGGGCGGTGGCGTTGCCCCAACTAACACGTTGGAATCAAACACGGAAACCAGCCACAGGAACAGGAAAGCCTTTTGATGTTGGGTAAAGAAGTCTGTGCCAACATCTCCGTTCATGGCTCCATTTCAGAACCCAGAATCTCGCTGATACTCTGCCAAGTGCGACCAAGCTTTCGCCAGTGCCCTTCAAGTTGGAACACACACGCACGCACCCGCACGCGCACACACACATGAATGCATACAAGGCTGTTCCCTGGACCCCGATCAGTGGGCGATGGGCCGATGTGACTCCACACACACAACCGTGACTCAGGGGTCAATGCACACCTGGGGTGGCTGCATCGCCTTTGGCTTTTCCTGGAGACCGCTGCTCCCGGGACTTCCCCCGTCAAAATCGACGCCTCAGGCTCCAGAAGTCCATCAGAAGCGCCAAAAAGCCCACCACAGCTGTGACCAGGGCCACCAAGAGGATGGCCCCGAAGTTCTCGCAAGACGTCAGCCGAGGCTCGGAATCACTATGCTTGTAGAACACTTCCCTAGACAAAGCAAAGCCAAGGACCCCCTTTGGAGAGGCAGCTGAATCCGACATGGTAATCTAGCATCCTGACCACATTCATGGCAGCCCGCTCATGCTGAGCAGCAATTGCAAAGATTGCCCGGCAAAAGGGGAGGAAAAAACACAGCCTAGGAGAGGGAGACGACAGAGCGGAATGCAACCTACTGCGAGTCAAAAGTCAGCTGCTGAAGGCGAAAGAAACTGTTGGGAGAAGATTGAGATGAAGTGCGCAGCAGCGCAAGGCAATGCACCACTTGTCAGTAGAAACAACACAAGGAGGGCATGGCATCCCCTCCATCCTGTGCCCTCATCCATTCTGTGTTTGCTTTGTTTCCGCCCGTGTCCAACATTTTTCTAGCCGCTTCTCGGTGTGACCTTCTCTCTGTTGTTTATTGACTTTCATACAAGGGCTTTGCGTTTTTGATCCCTGCTAGTTTTGCTTTTAAGTCTCCAGTGCCCACTTACCTTCTGCTCTTTTCGTCTGCTTCTTCTTTGTTTGTGTCTGCTTCTGCCTGGCAGAACAGAGAGGGAACACGCAAGGGTTGCCGTCGACATTTGTCATATCAATGTTCAGTTAAGCCCGCAGATTCTGCACACTTGAACAGAAGGCTCTAGACGCTAATGGTACAGGGCCTCTCCTCCAATTGGCCTGGCAACCTTCCAGGTTGTCCTGGACTGGAATCAACGCACGCGGCCACATGGGCACAGTCACACGCATGGCCTGCCAGTGGCCGTGTTCAGTCACACATATTGTTCACTGCCAGTTGCCCAAATCAGTAGTCACGCCATCTTTTGTGTTTTCTTCGCACGTGCGTTTTGCGCAACCGGGCACAGAAGCTTCCCATGGCCTGTGCGTATTCAGCTCCGCACACACGGCCGCTTCGTCGGAGGTAATTACAGGCAATATGCGAAAGGTCGACTGTGTGGGCCCACGCCAAATCAGAGTGCAATCTGTGGCGGCCACGCCAGATCCGGATCCGGTCAGATGTGGATGTGCGCGTCGAGGCATGCGCAGAGCGCGAAAAGCAAAACCAAAGCAGATGCCAGCGGTCATATGCCCAACGTGGAGCGCAAGTCACCAACCCAACATTCATCAACAGCCGCTCCTACCCAGAGGTTCTTGTTCAGGCTCGGGGCCCACTCAGCATTTTAACTCAGGGGTTGTAAGTGGAACCCTCTGCCAACATCGTGGCGGCGATTTTGATGCTACCCGTAAAAAAAAAATGTCCGGGCTCCATTTCTCGTTTTGAGGCGCAAGCTCGTTTTTGCCGGGGCTTGCGGTGACTCCCTCCTTCCACTCGGAGGTCTGGGACTCGAAGGAGCGCTTCAGCTGCTTGTGAAAGGTGTAGGAGTCGTAGAGCGCGCTGAACATGGACAGCCAGTGCCTGCGAGACGGCTCAACCCCGAGCCGTATGGACATGACCCTAAACCGTTTGAAACTTGTTTATGCTCATTGTGAGTTCCTTTCTGCTCAAAACGTCTCTTTTCTACTTATAACAAGAACCCTGGTTTGAAAAAGCTCTTTTGGCTTCCCCTGGATGGTTGAGCGCGTTTTGACCAACCTTGCACGACAACAAGTGCTTCTGTACCAGGGGTGCCATGCGCATTCAGTTGCCGGATGAACTGCTTGTCATGTCCTGCCAAACATGCAACTTCATGGATGCGCGCGCGTGCCCCACGTGTTCATATTATGCTGCTTCGGGTGAAGCGTGTTCCCGGGCATCAGATACACCAATGGTTGAAGAGGAACCATCGTGCCCAAGCGCCTTCAATTGCAAGCGATACAGTTGAGTGCGGTCAATCATTTTTGCCAAGCGTGTTCAGTGGCAAGGGATGCTTGCGACCTAGAGCAAGCGCATCCTTGTCTGTCCACGCGAAGCCGATCATGCAGAACTCTCCGACCCACTTTGAGTGGGACTCGCCTTGGGACCTTCCTCTTGCTTTCGCAACTCGCAGCACCAGACAACCAGCCGCCTGCAGAGACCCTGTTTGTGGCAACCCCAGCCCACACATCCCCACACCATACACAGACACAACAAGAAGCCAATCCTGATGCAGCAGCGCATGCCTATATCCCTGAACTCCATGTAGCCACAAGCCCAGCAAGACGCCTGTTCAAAGTAAAGCCAGTTTGAATCACACTCGAGCCAAATGGTCGGGTGATCCAAACTCAGTGAAGCAGCAATGATGCCTGCAAACCAAAAGCCTGCCAGACCTGATGCAGGAGCAAAAAAGTAAGCCTCCAGTCAGGAGATTGCACTAGATTCCACACAAAAGATTGACTGTGTGTGCGCCCTTGGTTGGGTGGGCCTGTGTGTCTGTGGTTGCGTGTTTGTCTGTGTGTGTGTGAAGTGTGAACCTGGGGGACAACAAAATGCGATTTCCCGCTTGGCGTCCCCAAAAAGAGCACTTCAAAAATACCCACTCTGGTTCTTTCGTCGGGCGGAAGGACCCCTCCAGCCGCTTCCATTTCCCCTGGCCTAAACCGCCAGGTCTTGTGTACGGCGGAGGCCTTCAGCAGATATCGCCGGCCGCAGCAACGTTTGGGGAGCCGTGTCGGCTGCACCTGAGCCGATGGACGTGCGTCCCACGTGTTTGGAGCATCTGCATCGAGAGGAGAACCACTGGCATGCGAACAACCAAAAACCTTTCTGCACTGGGCAATCAGCTCACTACCACGTGGGCCTGCTCGTTCTTGGCCGACCATACAGTCCGATGCTTCTCCTGAAGACAACGGAGCGCGGTCGCTTTGCCGCACCATCCGCAGTTCGACTCAACGCCATTTTTGGGGAATTTAAAGGCCTGATGAATGCAAGTTCCAGCCATCTCGCCTTCGGACCGCTCATACCTCAAGATAGTGGAACTAACCCGATGCATGCGCACTGCTCAACGACTTGCCGCTGGACCTTCAACTTGTCCTGATGGTGGAATTGACATAGGACATCAGCAAACTTGAGTCCATGATTCTCATAAACAAAACCCAGCATCTGGACCAGACTCTGCTTCCCTTGGGAAAAAAGACGGTATTCTTGCACAAGAAGCACAATCAACCAAGGATACCCCACTCATTCTGCCTGAAGCATTCGGCCATTCGCCACACAAGGTTGCCAAACAGCCACTTCAAAACACAAATCTGTACTGAGGTGACATGTGAAAGCAGCTAAAGTAGGGAACCCTCACAAGAAAAAATGTTCGAGTTCAATGGACATTCAATGATTTAACCTTCCCCTTCACAAACACCTCGCAAGATCAACACAAACTGACCAACTCCGCGATTGAACCCAACGGCCCCTCCAAACTGACCAACTCCCCCGGACGTCCTCGCAGACAAAGCAGGCCTTGTCGGCCAGCACCACCGCCACCATGGACACCAGGCTGGCGCCGGCCAGCAGCCCAAGAGCCCAGGGCCCTGCCCTGAATCACTGAAAGCTGGCGGATTGCCGTGGATTTCCCCCGTGTTCTCAACCGGAAAAAGCGAAGCATCCGAGGTCCGAGTTCCGACTTCCCAAGGGAAAATCACGTTGTCAAGGGTGAGGCCTACCGCCAAAAAGGGAAGAGGGAACCTTGAGGCGAGTGAGGGCGCGGGAGAAAAGGCCCATCGTTTGGGGAAAAGATCCAGGTGCATGCCAAGCACGCGTTCTATGGCTGATGACCACCTCGCACGCAAGTCAGTTTTTGCACAGCTGTCATGCTTCATTGAAATTACAAAACGTGCTGACTCGGTGCCCTGGGTGACTTTCCCTTCAATGACCGGCATTTGTTGAAAATGCATCAAAGCTCTTCTGTGTGAAGCCGTTCTTTAGGGGCTGAGCCCGCACCGTCTTGCGCCGCAAGCTACTAAGACACCACGTGCTTCCGCTGCTTCAAATGGCCTTCCCCGGCCCTCTTGTCACAAGTTGAAAACTGAACAACACATACGGCCAGACCCCTGGCAGATGATCCCTGCGGCCTTGCGGAAAGCGTTCACAACTTCCTTGCTTTTTGAGCCCAAGGCACCCTGAGGCAAATCAATCCAAAATATGAGCATAAACTTTGTATTTCAGTATTCCGCCTTTTTCTGCTACTCCAATTCCCGGCACACGCACGTTCCTCTTGTTTGAACATTTCTTTCAATGCAGAACGGATTCAATGCAACACACGAGGCATAATTACTTCTTCCGGCTTCTGGGTAATTTGATGTGGGTTTGGAGATGCTCGCCTTTAGAATAGATCATGCATGTGCTTCTTCAAGTGGGCCTGAAGCTCGCTCACTCTACTGGCATGCCCAATAGGTCTTTCCGATTCACCAGTTCCGCTTGCCCTTGCCGGTGAATCCCCACTCAGTGCTTCGCTTGTTCAGCGCAAAGGGGTCCAGCCTGTCTGCGTCAGCAAGGCCAGTGGGGGTCTGAACTGGATGACCGCTGCCGGCCGCATATGTCAGTATCACTACAGAGCTCGTCATGAGGTACATGAAGCTCACCAAACCATTGGTGACGCGAACTCCTGCCTCAGATCGACACGGTCTTACCTCTTGCGCAGCTCGGGCCTGTCGGTGCATGACAGGCCACATGTAAGCCATAAGCAACCAGCAAATCAGTTGTGATTTAACAGTACAATTGCGAGGTCCCTTTCCCGAACAAACGACTCGCTACCCGCGTGGTACGCGTGCTACGGATGGACCGGATAGTGAACGACTTTTGGAAAAAGTGCACGCCAAGTGGCCGTGTTGGCACTCGGGCCACTCATGGAGTTGACATAAGGGTTGCAAAGCCACTTTCCAAGCTGCAAAGCCAAGTAGTTGTTGCAGCCTCAATGACTCAAGTCAGTTCATTCAGACTGTTGGAGAGGAGCAAAGGGAGGCAACCCCAACCAAAGACAAAGTCAGGTGGAGAAAGCACTGTTACCATTGCATTTGTCCGTCTATTGCTGGCTCACACAGGAAGGTGACTTTCAGAACGAACCATGATGTCATTCACGGGGAGAGTAGATTGTTGTGTTCTTGTTTAAACAAAAGTTGACAAGGAAGAAGAGCGCAATACATGATTCAGTTTGCTGGAGGCTGCAAACTTCATAGGTCGCAAGGAATCTGAGCCCGCATTGCCTTGAACATTTTGTGTACGAGGCCCGTCTAAGGCAAGAACTTTCAAGAAAACAAAAGCAATACCGACGTAAGCTCCCAAGGGCCCGACAAATCAAGCAAGCAAGCAGCTGCGTGATAAACAAAATGCGGGGCTGAACATCGCATGGGGCTTTCCAGCACTCAGGAAACTCCAAATAGAAAGGAAACTGGTCTGATTGCTGAAGCCCAAACCTCCAATGTGCAATATGGGAGCAATCCAAGCCAAAACAAGTCCATGATGACATAAGAAACCCCCTAACCGGAGACATGCAGCAACACCGAGGCATGGATCATGGATCGGAAGGCGGTGGGGAGCTTGGGCAGAAGTAACGTCAAGAGTGTTGAAACGTAACAATTAGACCTCGTATACTCCGAAAACGCTGATCAGAAATCATGCCCCGTTTTCTCTGAAGGTTTTTTCGCGATGAAGCGACAGGGATAAGTGGAAGCCACGCGCGCTCGTACGTCGAGAGCTGCGGAAACGCAATTGGTGCACTACCTGCGCAGCAAAAAGGTTGTGCGCAACGCAACTCCTGTCATGTGCACTCTTAAACAAAAAATGTTTTTGATAGAGCATTTTGGCACGCATAGTTGCACAAATTTCCTCGGAAAGTTTCAAAAACTTGCACGGCGCCACAGCGAGAGCGCTTCGACAGGCGCGATCCCCGCAGAGGGTTCGACGTTCACTGCGAAAAAAATCGCGCGGCCACTTCGGCACGCACGATTCGCAGAGGGCTTGTCGGCTCGCTTCAGCGTACGCAGAGCTGCGCAAAGGACACGCGCTGCGCAGCAAAGCTATGTTGAGATGAGATGTGAAGCAATACTATGTGGAGACGCGCTGTGCAATAAGGCGGTGTTGAAATGCGCTGCGAAAAGGCTACATTGATATGCGTCGTGAAGCGAGACTGTGTTGAGAAGCACTGCACAACAGAGCTAGCCTTCCCTTCGCTAGGCTTCGAGAAATACGCGGGTGCCTGTCGTTGTGTACCCAAATAGCCCACCCATTGCGGTGGTTCGTTCCTCTATAGAACACCCCAAAGATTTGCCACTCATTTCCTTCACCGAGCGGCTAATAACCACTAAGCCAGCCACTGGCACAGCCTGGTCAAGCTCTGTGGGAGGAAAGAGGAACGCGGCGAGCCCCGCGATCAAGGAAGAAATGACCTGGGCAAACGGATGGGTTGCTACAAAATTCCCTTGTAATCGTAAAGGAACTCCTCAGATTTGATTTCCCTGCTGTTTCCAGTCTTCTGTTCTGAAGCGCGTCATTTCTTGCCACGCAACCAAGTACACCCAACTGGTTCTGCGGCGACCCTTCTTGCACCAAACGCGATGAAGCTGCTGCTGCTGCCACTGCTATCGCTACAGCTACCACTACAACTACCACTACTGCTAGGACTACTACTACTACTACTACTACTACTACTAATACTACTACTACTAGTACTACTACTACTTCTACTACTACTACTACTACTACTACTACTACTACTACTACTACTACTACTACTACTACTATTACTGCAACTACTACTTCTACTGCTACTACTACGACTACCACTGAATTACTACTACTACTGCTAGCACTACCACTACTACTGCTACCACAACTGCTACTACTACTAAGCTACTACTGCTACTACTACGCTTACTACTACTACAACTCTACTACCAGTACTACTACTACTACTACTACTACTACTACTACTACTACTACTACTACTACTACTACTACTACTACTACTACTCCTACTCCTACTCCTTCTCCTTCTCCTTCTCCTTCTCCTTCTCCTTCTCCTTCTCCTGCTCCTACTACTGCTACTGCGACTACTACTACTTCTACTACTACTATTACTACAACAACTACTACTACGACTACTGCTACTAACTACTACTACTACTACTACTACTACTACTACTACTACTACTACTACTACTACTACTACTACTACTACTACTGCTACTGCTACTGCTACTGCTACTCCTACTCATACTACTACCAGTAGAGCCGGCGAAGCCGATGGGCGGAAGTTTCAAAAATATCAAACTATAGTTCTTCTCTTTCTTGTCTTGAATCTTGTTTTCTTCTTCTTCCTTTCCTACCTACCTATCTATATCTCTCTCTCTCTCTCTGCGTCTATCTTTTTTCATCTATCTATCCATCCATCCATCTATCTATCTATCTTTCTATCTCTTTATCTGAACAGTTTCTCTCTCTATGAATCTATTTATCTTTCTCTCTCTGTCTGTCTATCTATCTCTCTATCTATCTATCTATCTATCTATGTGTTTGTCTATCTCATCTATCTATCTATCTGCTTGTCTGTCTTTCTATCTATCTATCTATCTCGAGAGAGAGAGAGAGAGAGAGAGAGAGAGAGATGAGAGAGAGAGAGAGGGCGAGAGAGGACTTGGTGTCTCAAAAATATGGAGACCTTTGGCAGAGATGGTGTTTACAATGTGGTGTCCTTTGAAAGGAAGGGAAAAAATGAAAAAGCCCCTGAAGAAGGGGTCCCCCCTACTTGACAGGCCTCAATAAGGCTTGCTGCTGCCTCCTCAGTCTCCGGCCTGGAAGGCCAACAACGAGAAACGCGCCCACATGCCAAGTGCGACAATCAATGAAAGTGCCAGCAGGCCTTGCCTCCGAGCTACCATCAACTCGGTTCTTCTCGTCTGCCGCTGCCGCATTGCTTCTCGTGACCTCGTCGCCCCTCAAGACCAGACAAGCAAGCTCTCGCCTCAGCTTTGCCAAAAATGATATTTTGGCGCATGGCCGACTTTGACATGTAGCTGCTGGACATATGGCCAGCTTGACAAATAGAAACGTTTGACATTTAGCTGGCCTGACAGATGGGTAGCTATGCCATAAAACTTTGCCACATAGCTAGCTTACCAGATGTGTAGCTTTGAGTTAAAGCCATATGGTTAGCTGGACATCTAGCTAGCTTGACAGACTGATAACTTTGACAGAAAGCCAGCTTGACAGCTTAACAAATGATGCCAGCTTCGGCATATAATTACATTGACAAATAACTATCTTGACAGTTGGATGCCTTGACATATAGCGAGCTCGAGAGGTAGCTAGCCGTCACAAAAAGCTAGCTGGACATAAAGCTTCCCTCCTGCTCTTGCGCGTGACTTCATTCGACCTTGGCGGGTGACGCACCGGGCTTGACGTCACTCAGGTTGCCTTGGCTGCTTTATTAACTAGCTAGCTGGCTAGCTGCAAGCTAGGTGTTTCGAAGTTGCGATCTTCGAGCCCCAGCTGCGAAAGTGGTTTCCGCGCCCCCAGCTCTGAAATTGGACAAGTTGCGATTGTTGAGCCCCAGCTGTGAAAGTGCACTTCGTGTACTGCGTCGGCGCCTGAAAGTTCCGAAATTTGAGCTACTTTCAGTCTTTGAAGTTCCCCACTGTGGGGTTCTTACTTTTACCGCTTGTCGTCCGTCGCCGTTGCCGCCTGCCTCCTTCCGCCCTCACTCACTCACTCACTCACTCACTCACTCACTCACTCACTCACTCACTCACTCACTCACTCACTCACTCACTCACTCACTCACTCACTCACTCACTCACTCACTCACTCACTCAGCCCGAGCTATGGCTTCATATGTTTGAAACCTTCATGACGATCAGAGCTGCGGCGCCTTGAGAAACGCGCTGCGCTTCCGCGGTCTTCTCCATCTCGCTCGGACGAGTAAACCTCAATATTTCACAGCAACTTGGATGGCAAGTTGGGAAAGCACCTGGGTCGCAAATTCCCTCGCCGTGCCAGATCTTCTGCGGGAGCTACAAGGACGGCGGCCGCTGTCAGCGCAGACCACCGCGTCCCCCGCAGTGTAGAAGCAGCGTGTGATTCATGAAATCGTGACGTGAAGGCGCAGCTTACCTGCTTAGCTCGGCATACAATCTTTTCTGGGCATCGTTGAAGTCGCTGAGCTCAGCCTCATTCACGGGACCCTGCTTGAGCTGCTGCAAAAGCAGGTAGGTCTTCATCAAGGCCTGACGCGGCTGGAAAGACCACATGTTAAAGACTCGCAAAGCTTGCCGTAAGGTGGAAGCTGTCTGACAAAACCGCTCCTTTTCAGCCACAGTGTTTGGCAGTTCTGGGTTGGCATATTGCTGAAGCTCCTTCTGGCCTTGCCTCCAGGCTGTCTCCCGCAGAAATGACAAGGACGGCAATGGTTGCTGCGGACTGCTACGACTACTACGACTACTACGACTACTACGACTACTACGACTACTACGACTACTACGACTACTACGACTACTACAACTACTACAACTACTACAACTACTACAACTGCTACTACGACGGCGACGACGACTACTACTACGTACTACATAGTACTACTTACCATTAGTTACTTCCGCTTGCTACTACTTAGTGTATTGCTACTGCTTACTACTACTTACTACTACTTACTACTACTTACTACTACTTAAAGACTTACTACTACTTACTACTACTTACTACTACTTACTACTACTTACTACTACTTGCTACTACTTACTACTACTTACTACTACTTACTACTACTTACTACTACTTACTACTACTTACTACTACTTACTACTACTTACTACTACTTACTACTACTTACTACTACTTGCTACTACTTACTACTACTTACTACTACTTACTACTACTTACTACTACTTACTACTACTTACTACTGATCATCCAAAAGGTTAGTACATATCTCACTATATGCTCTATTGAACCAAGGCTAAAGTATATCTGCAACACAGTGCTTAGCAAGGTGTTCCTGAAAAATGTCTTTATTAAACAAACCCCAGCTAAAGAGCCAACACTTCAATGATAACTGAAGTGTATTGGTGTAGGGTAATCTGCCAAGTAACAATGTATTGCTTTGATTACGTAATATTTGCGTTCTTAATTGCCTCAATTGTATATTGCTGTATAGACACAATCACACAACTTCCACAAAATGCCAGTATAGGATACTTAACTCACACCCTAAATGGTGTTCCATGGCAGAATGAATTAAACCTAATCTCATTAAACAATCTATTAAACATATTGCACCTCTAACTACCAACGAACCCCCACGACAAGCGACCAACGACAAACTGCGAACCGCTGACTACTAACTAGCTGCTAACTACCAACTACTGGCCACTAACTGCTACCTGCTGACCGCTTGCTGCGAACTGCTACCTACCAACTACTAGCTACTAGGTACGAACTACTCATGGCAACAACGACGACAGTAATAGTGATTCTTGTTGTACAATATGTCATTCATGGTACCAACACTCACAACACATACAAACAACAACAACATCGTTTCAACATCGATAACCATAGCAGCAATAGTGATAACAATATAAGAAGCTCCCTTCTAAGCCCTGTCCCAATCCAAGAGCTGCCGGCCCGAGGCCTTGGCACCTTTGGGTCTCTCCAAGATACCAGGCACTTCAAACTGCTGCAGCTCCGCGGCTCCTGCCGGAAAAGCTCGTTATCTATTCGTCAGCCTGCCAAACGACAAAAACGCAGCTCTTGCTTCAGCCTCTCAAACAAAAAAACAAGTTTCGCTTCGCTGCACGGAGTGGCCAAGAACGGCTGGGAGCTACCAAGCGCAGTCCTAGACGTCTTGGTGCTGGCCAAATCAGCCTCGAGCTTTGGCTCCGGGACCCGCAGGCCCTGTTCTTGTGTTCCCTCATTCAAACAGGACATGGTGGTCTCTCTGTCTCGCTTCTGCACACACTCTCAAGGTCAACTAGTGATGAAAATTTAAAGAAATAAGTGATTGCCTCACAAGTCAACTTCCCTCAAAGAAAACCCCGGCTGCCTGCGTTCCTCCAACCTCCGTCCATTTGGTTTCCCGTGCTCCGCGTCTCCTCACGGGGACATACCAGCGTCGCCAGTGTCAGCCCGGGCGCCAGCGCCAAGAAAGCCCGGTGCTGCGAGGCCCAGGCAGCCCACAGCGCCGCCGGGCCCACGACGACCTCAGCGAGTTCAAGCGATGGAACTGGACGACCTACCGGGAACCGTCAAACCTTCAAACCAGCGGGAACCTCGACTCTTTTGACCTTTGTAAGGGAAAATGCGATTTCACAAGAGTCAAACAACTTTTCGATGAACCTCGCGTTCCGCTCAGCAAGTGGTGCGTTTCCGGCTGGCTGATCAACCTTACGCAGTTGGCAGAACGGAATTCAAAAGCTAAACCCATAATCACGCTCGGCTTTGAGTCTGATGCGTTTGGCAGGGATGACTACTAAGTTGCAAAAGCAATGGGTCAACTGCTCTTTGCAATTCGAGGCCAGAGTCGCTCGTTTCAAGGGGATGCCAGATATGAAGAAATTGCCTCCCTGGAACCAACGCACTGCCAGAAAAAGCGGTCGAACTTACCCCAATGTCTTCAAGGTCCATCTTGACATAGAAAGCCCAGCACGTTGCAACCCCCCAAACAACAGACCTTCAAATTGGATCAACGCCCAGTTTGTTACATGTTCCGATGCGCCAAATGGATGACGCTCCTGTGGCTCCAGCCGAGAGGTAGGGCATCAAGTGGGCCAAAGGAAGATTCTCCGGTGCCAACGACCATCCCACCTTGGACAAGGCGGGCAGTCTCACCCTTGCAAGGAGTTGCCGGTGCTTGCTAATGATTTCTGCTTTGTGGGTTGGTGGGTTGGCCGCACAACTGGCGAGGTGGGTTCCCGTTCCGGAGAAGACATTTAGCGATGGAGCAGCGCTCTGTTCAATTCGCCCTCAATCGAAAGTAACATGAGTGGTAGAGGGAGGTTTGGCAAGAGCTTCATGGAGCGCAGGTCTCATCAACATCAGCCTCCTGCTGGTCAATCTATCTAAGAGTTTTGTAAGAGAGCTCTTGGTTCATTTGACTGTTTCAATCCATTGTCTGTCTTGCTTGCCTGCAATGTCAATGCCTTCTGCAACAGGTTGATAGGCAAATCAAAAGGAGCCAATCCTTTCTCCATCCTTTGGGGACCGTCAAGTTTGGTCTTTGGCCCTCTGCAAAATGTTAGACTTGTTGCGAGTCAGTAGCGAAGAAGTCAAGTCACTTTCGAGAAAAACAAGAGATTGGAGGTCCACACTAAAGGGCCACCAACACAATGGCCATGCTGGAAGACGTTTGTGTGGTGCAAAGAACTTGCTGAGTGCCACACATGCACTGCGGTGCACCAACATGCCCTGTCCCTGCAACTCAGGCAGCCATGATGTACAAAGGGTGGCTGCCAAGCTTAGTGCTCAAGAATGCGGTGATCCTGCTTTCTGGATGCTTCGTGACCAACATAGCACTCCCCGCTCGGCCAAGTAACATCCTTGTCCAGAAAGAACTTGCCACTTTGCTTCGCCAAAAGGCTTGCCACCGCCAGCTCCAACAGTAGGATCCTCAAGAAGGCCACATGTCTGGCAGCACAACAGCCCGTGTTCGAATCCACTCTTCCCACCTGTGGGTTCTGGTCCAATGGTTCCAGCCGCAGATGTTGCCCCCACGCTCGCACTGGGCTGAAAGGCACACTCAGATTTCACCGGCTTCAGCAGCTTCACTGCGCAAGGTCAAAGTCCCGATCAGCCCGTTCAACGCAGTGCAATTGCTCCAAACGCGGCGAAAGCCTGGTGCAGCAGCACATGCTAAAATATGAACATCGAAGTTCACTCATTTTTTCTCGTGGCCCTGTTTCTCCGACCGGTGTGGCAGGCAAACACCCCATTTGCCAAAGGCACCCAAGCACTTTCAGCTTCAACTGCGGCTCGGGGTACTCGCAGGAGCCTCGCGACTTGCGCTCAGCTTGCATGCGAATATCCAAGTGTGGCTCAGGTTACCGCACTGAGCGACCTCCTCTACAACACTCAAGGCTTTTCAAAAGCTACCTGGCAGAAATCCAAAGCAAACAGTTCACGACTTTCACCAGCTCTTGCACGAGGGTTTTGCTTCACCTCACCAACTGCTTGGCCTGCGGTTCCTGTCTCACGACTTCGCGATCTCCCCATACAGCGTATGCTCTTGCCTGCATCTGGTCTTTGTAGATTTGCCGGGCATGCGAAGAGTCCTGTCCTGCCTGCTCCAGCCACGGAGTGCCACCCTGTGGGGCATTCATCGCAGAAGAAGCGATCCTGCTTGGAGAAGAAACCGGCAGCGCAGGTGGAGGTGGCGGCTTCGTCCCTGGCTCAAGAGCAAGTTGGACACCGTCAATGGGCTTGATTCGTACCCCAGCAAGGTAGCAACTCTGGTTAGTTTCGTTCTTATGGAAAGCGGGGAAACATCTGGGGGAACCACCCAACTTGCTTGATGCTCGGAATTGAAGCAAACCCCCATGCAAACTGGGTGGGTGGTGGGCCCTGAAATCTCTGAGCTGGGCCATGGTAGGCATTAAAATGCCCAAGAATGGTGGGTCTGGTATGTTGAATTGCCCTTTTTGGTGATATATTCTGCATTGTTTCAATCTTGTGCAGCAAATTTAACAGCTGATGGCATGATCACTCTAGGAGCGCACGTCCTTTCCCGGGGATTAACGCTTTGCTCTCCGAGGCGCTAGATAAGTGCCGCAACATCTTGCTCACTCTCATCTTTCGTCCCTCCGAATTTCATTCGTGGATCAACAGCCCACCTGGCATGCGGTCACGTCGCAGGCCCTGCACACAATCAGAAACTCAGCATGAATAGAAACGCTAAACATGGTCCGAAATTCGGCGAGTTTCGGCGAGATGCGTCGGCGCTGCGTCCGTGCTGCGCCCTACGTCATGCGTCGGCCATGCGCCGGCGCTGCGTCAACTGTAGCGAGTACTGCGCGGCGTGATGCGGCGTGATGCGTCCCACGTCGCGCGTCGCTGATGCAAAATGCATTGCGGTAGACCGCGATAGTGCCGGCGGCGGCAGTGAAGGCCCATGCCCCAGACCCGTGGGAAGCTCGGCAAAGCCCAACGAATTGGTTGCGCCCTAACACAAAGCACCCTCACCCCCAAGCAGTCTGCCACATCCGGCCTGTAGAGCATAAGTCCCACCAACAGACCGCCCGACAGGAAGTCCAGGGAGCCGCCCGCGGTCTCGATGTGGTTGGTGGCCAGCGATGCCAGCTCCAGAAGACCCGACTGACAGCCACGGCTCCATGGGGCGCTGAAACCCCCACACACACACACACATGGGCAAATGAGCGAGTCTCCCTGAGATTTCATGCCTCCCAATTCAACCAAAGACTACTGGAAATGTTCACCGAAACTCGGTGTGTAAAAAGCGTGAGAACAAGAACAAGCGCAGGGTAGACTGCGTGGGCCACATTGGGGAAGGACAAGACAAAGAAGGATATGGTCAAGCATCAGCACACAAAAACAAATCACAAATACAAGAACCAGAACAGGAACATCTGCAAAAATCAGAACAGCAACAAGAGCTACAGAAACATGACCAAACACACCAAAGTAGGCAGAGGCGGGGGAAATCGAGAACAAGAACAACAGTAAGCACAAGAAGTAGCTCATGAATAGCGAGTGAGAGCATGACCAAGTGCTACAACACAAACATCTTTAAGGAACTAAACGAAGCAGGGACATGATCAATTTTCTCTCGGGAAATTGGGCCCGGGCAAAAGTTTGCTTCAAGGCGGAAGGTCAAGGCTGCGGGAGACAGTGGCTCCTGGCAAACGGACAGGAGAAGCAGCGAGGTGGTTGCTCTTTTGATGACCGGTGAGACCAAGATCGTCTTTCTGTTTATGTGTGGGGCGGCTGACTGGTTGCCGGACGCGGAAACTATCGCTCCTGCCTTCCTGCCTTCCTGCCTTCCTGCCTTCCTGCCTTCCTGCCTTCCTGCCTTCCTGCCTTCCTGCCTTCCTGCCTTCCTGCCTTCCTGCCTTCCTGCCTCCCTGCCTCCCTGCCTCCCTGCCTCCTTGCCTCCTTGCATCCTTCCTTCCAACCAAGTCCCGCCCTCTGTGCCTCCGTCTTCTCAAACACGGTCAGCATTGAGTCTGTGACACACAGCAAATGCTGTTGCACCAGCCTGATCGCCTTAGCGCTCGGCATGAAAGGCTGAGGTTGGGGGCAAGCCTCTGTGGTCGCTACCTAGTTGAGCTTCATTTCCAGCCACTTAGAGCTGAAGACTAGTCTGGAAAGGCAGCACTCCAATCCTGCTCAACGGATAGTATCAAACAAACCCAACTGATTGCTTGTGCTGTTCAAGCAGCCACTATCTTGTTATCTAACCAAAATATGTTTGGCACAGTTGTATAAGGCTGGCCGCTACTGCTGCTGGCTAGTTGAAAGCGTTGATAGGGGGAAGGAAGTCACTTGAATGCAAGTGCTTTCACCTACCCCATTTTGTGTCGCTCTTTGTCCTGACCGCTTAGAATTCCCTGCGGGTGATTTAAAACCAAGCCCTCTGCGAGGGTGTGATCAACATCTCCAATCATCTTCTTGAGGATTGTACCCAAAACTGCCCCAACACTTGAATGCTATGATGCATGGTCACGGCTGTAGTCCTCAGGAACCAGTCTTGCAAACCTGCGAGGAAGGGTGAGTCCCCAGATCTGACACAATTACAAACTGAACAACCACCAGCAGGCCCATAGAGACTGCCGTTGTGTTGGGAAAGTCTTGAAGAATTTGCGGGCCAATGCCCCGTTTCTGAAAGCAACACCCCACTACAGGTAGGTTTCACCCTGTAGCGTGTACATGTGGTGCATTCTAATTCTCAATCACCGCCAGACCTATAGTGGCCGAGGAGCCCTCACAGGGCCATGTACTGAGAACCTTGCCACCACTTCCAGAGGGGGCCCAGCCAAGATCTGTATCTTCTCATCGTTGCCGCCGGCAGCCCAATGATCATTCCCAAGACAAGCCACGGACAATATTTGGGGGGCGCCAAGCAACAAAGCTGTGGCTGTCCTGCAGGGCTGAAGTCGGCCGAGTGATGCGTAGACCACACACATACCATCTACCGATACCAATATACCCCACCATTGCATCAGAAGGCGTGCACTTGTTTGCCACTCTCGGTCCTTCGGTAACACTCGATTGCTGTGCGGCAATACCAATGTGAACTGCTGATGTCTGCTCTTCATGTTTTAAAATCAAACTTTATATGGTGAGCTCCAAAACATAGAGCCGGCAAAGCCGGTGGTCGGAAGTTTCTAGAAAACAAGAAGCCATGGTTTTCTTTTCTTTGTCCCTCTTTTTCTCCCTCTCTCTCTCTCTCTCTCTCTCTCTCTCTCTCTCTTTCCTCTCGCTCTCTCTCTCTCTCTCTCTTTCCCCTGGCTCTCTCTCGCTCCCTCGCTCTCTCTCTCTCTCTCTCTCTCTCTCTCTCCCTCTCCATGCTTTCTCTTTCTCTTTCTCTCTTTCTCTTTCTTTCTCTACGTCGCGCCTGCCACGAAATCTGCGGCTGACCTTGCGAAAGCGCTGCGCCTGCCTCCAAACCTGTACCTGATCTTGCGAAAGCCGCCTGCCACGAACAAATTGCACCCGACCTTGCGAAAGCGCTGCCACAGCCACGAAATCGATACTCGACCTTGCGAAAGCGCTACGCCTGCCACGAAACCTGATCTGACCTGCGAAAGTGCTGCGAGGAAAAACAACTCGATTTCGTAACTGTCAATATCATTGTTATGGCTCAAAAACTGTACGTGTGCCTTTTTAAACAAACTCAAGTACACTGGTTCACCCTAGCCTATCTAACCTTTTCCCCAAGGACCGTGTCTACACAAAGGGGTTGCTACGGAAACTAAAGGCCGGGTGCGCTCGTCGCGGTCGGTGTCATTTCGTTTGGGCCGGTTCGCACGAAAGGTTTTCAAAATTGCGCAAGTCGCTTCCACTGCGCAGGCTTGCAAAAAGTGGGTGTCGCGCGCGGGTCCGTGTCAGCAGCGCGCTCTCGCTGTGACTGCGCGAATTCTGCAAAATGGTGGACAGGTGCACTCTCTGCAGACTTTGGCGGCGTTCGATCGTTCTTGCTGTAACTCGGTGCGAATGTTGAACATCGAAGCTACCCCTTTGCGGACTTTGGGCATGTCGGGGCGTTGTCGCTGTGGGGCGATGCAACTTTTAACATCGAAAGTGAACCCTTTGCGGGCTCGGCGCGATGCAAGTTTCTGGCGTGGAAAGCGAACCCTCCGCAGATTTTGGGTATCTCGGAATTGTCTTGCTTCTCCGCGGTGCAGATTTATCACATGCAAAGTTAACTCTCTCTCGCTGCGGCGGTGCACATTTCCAACGGCACGGCCAAAGTCTAAAATCTAAAAGAACCCTCTGCGGGCTTTGGGCGCGTCGGCCAGCTCTTGCGGTGAATACTTTTAAAATCCAAAGCGAGTTTCGGGCAACCCTATAGAAAGGATTTTCCGCGGAAGATCGTTTACAAGTCCTTTCACGTGGATCCTCCCTAAAAGCTGCTGCGCATGACTGTCCAACGCGCGATCTGTCTATTGAGATCCTCCCGAAAGACCTTTGCAAGATCTTGCGCAGGACCTTATGAATCCTTGGAAGAGATCTTGCGCAAGGCCTTCTTGCACAGGCTCTTACAAAACAGTCCTCAACAAATCTTCCAGAAGATGCCCATCTAGACCCTCTCTAACAGCTGTTGCAAGCTTCCAGCAATAGAGGTCTTGCAGCCAGATCTGTTAGAGGACCCTCTCAAGACACCTACCTTGCACACAGATCCTTTTGAGAGACCTTGCAAACCGATTTTCCACAGAACGTTACCATGTTTTTTGAGGAGCTCTTGCGCAGAAAATTCCGTATAGATCCGCTGTATAAAGATCCCCAAAAGAGGGCCCTGTTTGCAAGAACTTGATCAAGAGATGTTCCACAAAGGTTCTGGTTTAGTTCCTCTTTAAGAGCATGATCTTCCAAAAAGAGATCTTGTGCGGACCTGCTGGAGCTTGTACAGAGGTCTTGCAACCAGATCTTGTCGAGAACCGCCCATCAAGATACTCTCAAGACACCTTGTATACACAGATCCTTGTTAGAAGTTGCCTTTCACACTGTTTGGGGTCCCTTGGTGTACTTAGTTTCCTGAATCCCTCGCTCCATCTTCCCTTGGGCTGTTGCGCATTGCCCGCTCCCGACTCGCCCCTTTCATAGAATACATGACAAAAGGATTGGACAATGTTAGCAATCTTCATTGGTTCATGGCTTCGTTAGCATTGACAAAGGATTGCTGGGACGTTAAAACCGGGCTCGGACAACAGAGCCCCGCTTTGGTTGCCCGGTTGTGGAGTGTGGTCTCATGTGCCATGGGCAGCAACATGCCGTGCCTGGTGTCATCGCTAAACACGTCAGAGAAGACGAAGACCTTGTCATTGCTTCCCGCCAGCAGCTTCTGTCCGTGGTAGCACATGGAGTAAAACGGGCGCGATAAGCCTTTGTCTGTGTCCAGGAACTTGAAGCGCGGCAGCTCAGCCTCGATCGCGGACCTGCGCGTGCGATCCGAATCGAACGACTCGTGGAGCATGGCCATGGACCCCACGAGGCCCAGATGGGACTGGCACAGGGGAGGGAAGGGCGGGCTGGGGGATGGGGGCTGGGTGGGGTGTGCCAGTGGCCCATGCCCTCACCAAGCCAATGCTGCTCCTGTCAGCGCAGAACTATGCCAGTACAAGCAAATTCAAAAAGCAGCAAAGCCACCTAATACTGTTCGAGGAATCACGATTCTGCTTGCTGCCACTGCTAGGACCCGGTTGCTCTTCTGGCTGCTTCAAAACAAAACTTATCGTTAAGTTTGCTCTTCAACAAAAACCGTTGGACTTCAGCACTCCGGCATCTGCGACGTATATTCCGCATTTATTTTCGACCTTTTTGTACAGGAATCGGTCGCTTTTCCGAGCCAAGCCACAAATTGAAGAGCCCCACCCCTTTCTGGAGGCCCACAGCAATGACGCCATCCTCGAGCTCCTGACATTTTTTGCGCGGCGCGCGAAACAAATAGGGTGCCTTTTTTTTTTTGGCGCAAGACTACCTCAGACCTCAGCTGCATGTCCAAATGTTGGGGTGATGTCAAGCACCCAAATGCCATGGGCGCTTCTGGGCCACGACCTCTGCGCCTCGACGAATCCAAACAGAATCAACTGCCGTGAGGCATGAGCATGCGTTCCTCACTTCACACCTCCAAAACCTAAATCTAGACCCTAGACCAGCGTGCCGGTACCCGATCTGAGCACTGGTGCATGGCACCACATGGAGCCCGTGTGGCAACCTGTCAACAGACGCCAACGGTGTGCCCAGCCGTGCCTGGATGCAATCAACATGGTCGCCCACGTCCACCTTCAAGTCACCCTGCCACCTTCCAGGAGGTGAAGCCAATCCCTGTTGAGAGGGCCCTGAAAGCGGAATCCGGATCGGAAATGCCCGAAACAAAGCTGAACGACCCAAAAGCATGCAGCAAGCTCGGCTTTGCAGCCAGCGTCATGCATTTGCCGGATGGTATAAAGTCCTGGATTTAGGCCACCTTGATATCATGGTGCCCTTCAACATGGGTTTTGTCGTTTTGAACGTAGGCCACGGTAAGATAATCAGATGAGGGGCCCTTCGCACGCTTCCAAGGTGAGAAGTGCTACGTAGAAGCTGCAAGACTGGGTTCAAGGTCCGCTTAAAACCTTTCACTTGATTCAGGCTCAGGCCCCTTGCATGCCAACATGGCCAGATGTCTTGCTACAAGTCACTGGACCCAACCATCTCCGGCCTGAAGGCTCCGAGGACGTCGCCCCCATAGCTGAAGACTGAAGGGGGCTTCCCCGGGCTGCTCGTCACCAGCAGGTTCCCCGTAACCGGCTTCATCATGCGAAGATAGGCGCCTCGGGCTCAAATTTGTTGGAAGCGCTTATACAATCATGGCTGAGGGCGAAGAAAGGACTCCGAAAGTATCAATCCATTGCAGGCATTGAATGGTGCGCAACCTGGCGGCAACTCTGAACAGTTGTTGTAACACGTTGAAGGCCTTGAGCAATAATGGGGATGAATGGGGATGCACATGTTCCACGCTGCACTGGAGCTTCGAAGAAACCACACGCGGCTCAACAAGCAAAGGCCCGCCCTTCGAACAAATGGGTGTGTAGTTTTGGTCTGTATCCTTTTCAAACTACAGGGACCCCCACCCCCCGGACCCCCCCCCCATTTGGGGGGGGAGATAAGACAAAGCCATACACCACTTCCGCGCTTGCAGGCACTGGACAGGCAGATGACAACCTCACGCCCCAGCCCCGCCTTCAACTTCAAGTCGGGCCCAGGGCCTGGAAACCTTGGTCATGACGCCGTGGCTGTAGATGTGCACCTGTGCCGGGTTGTGTCCATCTGCAAAAAAAAAGGAAGTGGAAAGTGGAAAGGATAGATGATTTCCTTTGCATCCAATAGGAGTTGTACTGTGCGTGCTACTTAGCCACGATGCTGCAGCTCGTACGCTTTGTGACGTCAAAATTTGACAGCTCCATGCTTGCAATTGCGAGCAGGCGCCATATCCCAACCAGCAGTCCCGCAAGACCGGAGGAGCCGTTGCTCCCACCTTGCGTTTCCTGTACACAAGGCACGAGATGTGGAAATTGCAATGTGTTTTATCTAGCACCTTCCCAAAATTGGAAGCCAAAGTTATGACGTTGGACTCAACGCGTTAAAACCAGTTCGGCACAACATGCACAAGAGCCAACATCTATCTGTGCTGGATGTGAGTTCAGATCAGACTTCATTCCGTTGAAAGAGTCCTTTGTGTGGTGGCTCGCAAGGAATGTCAATTATTCAAATATTGCCAAACCAAATCAGCCCAATTTCCGAGTGCATCCCTGAAGAGCGAGAGGATCTCAGTTGGGAAGCCTCTAAAGGAAAGCTGAGGCGCATGGAGACGACTGATTACAGCGAGTCCCAGCCCAGGAAGCTGCAACAAGCCGATGATCATGCTCGGCACCGGCAGCGACAAGAACGGCAGCCTCTCGCGCGAGAGCCGCTCACTCTCTTGGTGCGACGGCTGAGTCCTCAAAACCTTGTCCTTTACCTTCCTTCGCCTTTGATCGCTTGGCGTTCTGGAAGGCGAGCTGTTGGCCACAAATATGGGTGTGTCTCTGGATGTTCTGGCAACACCACACTCGTCTTTCGCAAAGTTGACAAACAAAAACAGATCCCGCCGGCTAGTTGCCGGACAAGCACCTTGGGAGTAGGCAAGACTGAGAGGGGTGATTCGGGGATGCTCTTGCCTTGTGGATCTGGGAACTCCTGGGAAGCTGTATCTGTTTGCTTGGCATATGCACAACGTGGGAATGGGTTTTGGGGACGCAGGCAAAATTGTCTTGAAGTGGCTTTACCCTTGACTTCATGTGGGAAAACAGTTGCTTTCAAGCAACTTGGGCTTCGAATTTACCCGCAACGCATTGCATGCGAATTTGGTCCGTGCTGATGCTCGGCTTTGCGAGCTCGGCAGGCGTTTACTTTGTAAACAGGGCTGTGGTATAACAAGGCCTTTGAAAAAGAATCTTCTTAAGGATGAGTCTAGGTCGGCTGAAGCTGACAGGCGCAAGATTGGCTTAGGATTGTTGAAAGAAACGATAAGCGATAGCCAACTCCTGCTTGAAAGGAGTTTGATTGCTTGGAGTGTCCTTGTACTTTGGGATTGATGCGTGGTCTGCTTGGATTTGGGGCTGGTTTGAGTGGGTTCAGGTTTACATCTGCAATGGTTTGGGCTAGATTTAGGTTGGGTCAGGTAATGTTAGCGACGGGTACAGTTTTCGAGCTTCTTGGCCAAGCCCCAAATGCGGCGCCTTTGATACAACCCTCACTGTCGAGGTGCCAAGCTACGCTGTACATGTTCGATCGCTTGCCAGCATCAGACACTGCGCTTGCGATGGGGCTGAAACTGGCAGAGTCGATGCCACATCCGCGGCTCAGTTGCCGACTGCGCACCGGTGACCCTTTGAAAGCTTGCCAGGCTGGGCTTCTCTAGCGCCAAATGGACAGCCCAGTTGCAAATCGGCGAGGAGTGGCTCGGAGTCCCGGGCGCTTCATGTAGGTCATGGTGCGTGTCCATGGTCAACCTGCTTGTGTGGGTCATGCATCAGGCTCCTGCAGAAAGAACTTTTGACCGCTCCTCAACCAAGGTGAGAAAGGAACAAAACAACAGGAAACAAACCAAGATGCAAAAATCTGAAGGCCGCTCGCCTCTTCTAGCTTGGGCCGTTGTCCGTTGGCGTCAGGAAGGCAACTTCCGGGAGAACGAGAGCAAATGTGAGCCAGAAGGTGTGGTGCTGGCGGGCTGGCGACCAAGGCCAAGTGGTGAGGAAAAGCAAGCCATCGAGGCCAAGGACGAAAGGGTGAGGCCCACCGTAGCGTGGAGGACACTTGTGTCAGAGCCCGGGAGGAGTTTTTGAACTGGCACGCGGATGGTTCAAGGATCAGGATGAGACCAAAAAGATGTCAGAGGAGCAGAAGAGGAAGTAGAGTTGGGACCGTCACCGAAGATCCCTCCGACTGGTGAGAAGCAGGAGGCTGAGCAACAAGCAAACGCCGGACGCCAGCCTCAAGGGCGCCTCCTCATGTCCTGAAGCAGCCACCTTCGAGGCCGCCAGCGGCCTCGACCTTGCAGGAACGCAGCGGCTCTGTCGACCCCCTCCTGCGCCGCGTGGCGCGTCCAGCTCGGCTACTGCGAACCAAAACAAAACTGCAGGAAACAAACCAGGGTGCGTGAAGGCCGCTCGCCTTCTCCATCTTGAGCCAACTCCCTCAGCCTGCCTGGTTCAGCAACCAGGGCGAGATTTGCCCTTTCACAAGCTTGGTGGCCTGACCTGAACCTGGTGGCTTTGGAAACACTTTGGGCTGGCCTTTGTCTCGTCCCTGGCAGCATCGCCTTCCAACCGAAGACCTCCAGCAAGTTCGAGCTAGCGACGACCAGGAAACCTTCTGCCGTCACCACCATCCTGAGACAGAAAACCGCCGAGCCGGGATGGCACAGGCATGGGCGGCGCTTGCCTGGGGGACCAACAAGGACCAGAGAAACACTAGGTTGAAGCCCTGCTCTTTTGCATGGGCTGCCCAGTGTACTACACGTCGCCTCAATTAGGGGGGCTGAAGAATGGTCTTGGTGTGGATGACGAGTGCTGCAATAACAAACAGAACTTCCGCAAGCGCACGAAGCCCAAAACACAACTGGGCACGAACTGGACATGCGTTTGCTAATTGTTGTCAGGCTAGCCTGGCAATTGGCCGTCCTTGGCCTTTGCTTCCATGTTCCTCGGCCTTTGCTTCCATGTTCCTTGGCCTTTGGCAACATAGTTGATGGCGGCTGTGAGCAAAGAACAGGACACTGATGCGAACCAGGCTTCTCCTGGGGAAAATCGCAGATCTCCAGGGTCTTGAAACACCTTAGAGAGGGACCGTTTTTTTAACGCAATTGCGAAAACAACATCATGAGCCACTCACCAGCAGCGCAATTCCCCGACAGAGGGGTCTTACCAAGCATCAGGTAGTTTCGGAAGCGCTCTTCACTTGCGCCAGGCCACGATCCAGTGGCAAGGTCTTTTTCACGGAAGATTCGCACCTGACGCCACACCCTTGTGCGTACAACTGGTTTAGCATTGACCGTGTGCTGGCTCAGTACCGTTTAGAGCTGTTTTAGTATTGATTTAGTATTTCTGCGTCTGGCCAAAGATTTATATTTTCTCTTTCTCCTGCCCCGAAACGTCAATGTTAAAAGTCGAGCACATAAGCTGGCTCCACCGCTCTGCGCCGCGACTACTTCGCCTATTGCAAGAGTGGCATTTGAGCGTGATGTCGGTGTGCAATCGCGGAACAGCACGCAGAGTACACCTCCGTAGCTCCAGCTTAAATAGCGCAACTTGGAAATACAAGTCTATTTACGTAAGGTACACTTCCGCATCTCCAGCTCGGAAATCGCAACTTTGTAGTACAAGTCCAGTATGCGAAGTATACTTCCGAAGCTCCAGCTCGGAAATCGCAACTGGCAGTTCAAGTCTAGTACGCGAAGTACCCTTTCACAGCTGCAGCTCGGAAATCGCAACTTTGCAGGGCAAGTCTAGTGCGCGAAGTACACCTCTGCAGCTCCGGCTCGGAACTCGCAACTTTGTAGTACCCCAAGCGCACTTCCACAGCTCCAGCTCAAAAATCGCAACTTGTAGTACAAGTCTAGTACGCGAAGCGCGCTTCCGCAGCTCCAACTTGGAAATCGCAACTTTGTAGCGCACGTCTAGCATGCAAAGTACAATTCTGCAGCTCAAGCAGGCGCAGCTCTTTAGCCAAACAAAGTTTAGTGAAAAACTTCCGTAATAGGCGGAGTTACCCACACACGAAACACGCAAAGGGTAGCTCTGTTTTGCGCACGGGTTCGGCACGGGTTCAGCGCGGGTTCGCCACGGGTTGCCCACGGGTTCGCCACGCCTCTCGGAAAGTTGCCCAATGGCATGGCTGCGCTAGCTTTGAATTGCGTCGCAGGCGCAGCACTTTGGCAACCTGAGGCGCAAAGTTCGTGGCAGGCGCGGCATTTTGTTCTCAAGCTGAGCCGCGCGGTTCATGAGTCGCATTGGAGTGGACGCGCAAACTGCTGCGCGCCGATTGCGTGGCAGGCGCCTGATTTTCGCAAGATCGAGTATAGATACCGTGGCACGCGCAGCGCTTTCGCAGGGTCGAGCACAGATTTCGTGGAACGTGTGGCACGCCGCGCTTCTTAAGGTCAAGCACAGATACCGTGACGGTCGCAGCACTTTCGCAAGGTCGAGAACAGATTCAGCACTTTCGCAAGGTCGAGTTTTGATTCCGTGGCAGGCGCAGCACTTTCGCAAGGTCGAGGTCGAGTATAGATTCCGTGGCAGGCGCAGCACTTTCGCAAGGTCGAGTATAGATTCCGTGGCAGGCACAGCACTTTCGCAAGGTCGAGCACACATTTCGTGGAAGGCGTGGCACGTTCGAAAGGTCGAGTATGGATTTCGTGGCAGGCGCTGCGCTTGCTTAAGCTATAAGGTCAAGAAATCGTGGCGGTCGCAGCAAGGTCGAGTTTTGATTCCGTGGCAGGCGCAGCACTTTCGCAAGGTCGAGTATAGATTCCGTGGCGGGCGCAGCACTTTCGCAAGGTCGAGTATAGATTCCGTGGCAGGCACAGCACTTTCGCAAGGTCGAGCACACATTTCGTGGAAGGCGTGGCACGTTCGAAAGGTCGAGTATGGATTTCGTGGCAGGCGCTGCGCTTGCTTAAGCTATAAGGTCAAGAAATCGTGGCGGTCGCAGCAAGGTCGAGTTTTGATTCCGTGGCAGGCGCAGCACTTTCGCAAGGTCGAGTATAGATTCCGTGGCGGGCGCAGCACTTTCGCAAGGTCGAGTATAGATTCCGTGGCAGGCACAGCACTTTCGCAAGGTCGAGCACACATTTCGTGGAAGGCGTGGCACGTTCGAAAGGTCGAGTATGGATTTCGTGGCAGGCGCCGCGCTTGCTTAAGCTATAAGGTCAAGCACAGAAATCGTGGCGGTCGCAGCACTTTCGCAAGGTCGAGAACAGATTTCGTGGCAGGCACAGCACTTTCGCAAGGTTGAGTTTTGATTCCGTGGCAGGCGCAGCGCTTTCTCAAGGGCAGGCGCAAATAGATACATAAACAAATAGATAGGTGCAATGGAAAGAGAGAGAGAGAGAGAGAGAAACGAAAGAAAGAAAGAAAGAAAGAAAGAAAGAAAGAAAGAAAAAAGAAAGAAAGAAAGACCGAAAAAAAAAGAAAGAAAGAAAGAAAGAAAAAAGAAAGAAAGAAAGACCGAAAAAAAAAAAGAAAGAAAGAAAAGAAGAAAGAAAGAAAGAAAGAAAGAAGAAAGAAAGAAAGAAAAGAAGAAAACAAGAAAAGAAGAAAAGAAAGAAAGCAAGAAAGAAAGAAAGAAAGAAAGAAAGAACGAAAGAAAGAAAGAAAGAAAGAAAGAAAGAAAGAGAGAAAGAGAGAAAGAGAAAGAGAAAGAGAAAGAGAAAGAGAGAGAGAGAGAGAGAGCGCCAGAGAGAGCAAAGTAAGAAAGAAAGGAAGAAATAGATACAGAGTGGGGCCAAAAAGGTGCGTCGGCGTGGGGGGGAATGTTTGCTTTTCTCTTCCTATAGGCACATGTCCTTTCTAGAAACTTCCGCCCTCCAGCTCTGCTGGAGCATACCTGGTACAAGTCACACTTCCGCAGCTGCAGCTCGGAAATCGCAACTTTGCAGCGCAAGTCCAATACGCGAAGTACACCTCTGCAGCTCCAGCTCGGAAATCGCAACTTTGTAGCGCAAGTCTAGCACGCTGCAGCTCCAGCTTGGACATCCCAACTTTGTAGCACAAGTTTAGTACGCGCAGTACACTTCCACAGCTCCAGCTCAAAAATCACCACTTTGTAGCACAAGTCACGCACACGAAGTACACCTGCGTAGCTCCAGCTCTTGAAATCGCAACTTGGAAATACAAGTCTAGTACGCGAAGTATACCTCCGTAGCTCCAGCTCGGAAATCGCAACTTTGTAGACAAGTCTAGTACGCGAAGTATACTTCCGCAGCTCCAGCTCGAAAATTGCAAATGTGCACAGCTGCAGCTTGAAAGTCGTGACTTACGCCCTGGCATCGGCTTTTTTACTCTTTTCGTTTTGCATTGTTTTTCAAGCAAGAACCATTCAAGGGCACGTCCATTCATAATTCTTGGGCGCGGGGTTGTGTCACAATCCCGCGTGTGTTCAAACAAAGGAAACATCTGCCAACTGTAATTTGCCTGCCGGCTAAAGAAGTTGCGTTTGGCGGTAGTCTGGCCTCAACAAGGCCTGCTAGCAATTCAAGATTGCTACTATTGTAGCGGAAATCGCAAGCAAACACGAATTAAAACACACACCCTATCAATGAAAAGAACATGATTCACCAGTCATTCGTCTGTGGCAAAGTCGAGTACCCGACGTTTGCCGTGCTTTGTGTTGTCATGTTCAACTGCGCACACGCCAGGCATCTTTTGCCTGCCCCACACAATCAGCCCCATTTTAGCGCAATTGTCCGTGGCATCCGCACACCCAAGCATCGATATGCCCCCGCTCCATTCTTTCCACGACGAGGGAAAGCCCGCATGCGTCCGCATGCCCGAACCGCCTGCGCTTAGTTCCATTGTATCCATGACCAGCGAATCCGTCCATGCCCGAATCTAAAGATACATGCTCGGTTGCGACAGTATGAGCCTGTCTACTGAATATGCTGCGCTCAAACAACAAGGCAGTGTTCGGTTTTTGCCGGTGTGCCCTTGTTTCTAGCCTCAAAGGATGCACTGAGACTGACTGAAAAAAATGCCCACGGCACCACACGCCAATTTGCTCTTGCAACACAATGCACTTGAAGTCAGCCAAAGCGTCAACGGTTGGCGCTTGGGTATAGTTGAACGCCTCGCCGCAGGCTCATTCGCCTAAGGAATCACTGGAAGGGTCACCTTTGGTTTATTTTAAAGCTAGACATCTTCATTGCTGCTACCTAGATTCATGGAACAAGACTGCCTGGCACTGCCGCTGGTGGGTTGTTAAATGTTCGGAAGCCTTCTGGTCGAAGCTCCCAATCACCAGGCCCAGCTCAGGGATCTCGCAAAGTCTCGTGATGTGAGACCCTTGGCCTCAGCAAAACGACATTTCGACAGGACACTGGAAAAGGGGTCCAAACCTTCGGTTAACACAGGGCTGTCGCCTTTTCCATGCAGGTAGAAACAAAAGTTTCGAGGCTTCTGGGCTCTGCCCAAGTGCCGCGCAAATTGCCCCACGCCAGTGCTCGCAAGCCTTAGCCTAAACTTGCCGATCGAATTGCTTTTCAAGGAACCTGAAAATGGCGTTCGGTGACGAGCACCTGTTGGGAGTCACATTGGGTTCTCGATCGGGGCAAGCCCTTGGCCTTCTCTAAGCCATCGTTGACAGCTGTTGGGGATGCCCTTTCAGAATCTGGCGAGGGACACCGCATTCGCGGGATTTGGGGACCTTCTGGAACCCAAAATACGTAACGGGACTGCCCAAAAACAACAGGGGGTCCCTGAGCTACTCCTGCGCAAAGAACAAGTGTCGAGGCGTCCGTTGATGTCCTAGCACTGCGGGCTTTCCAATCAATGTCTGCTCTTTAAAAATAATAATAATGGGCTAGCATTTGCACACTCCCCAACGCAAAACCACAGAAGCTGCCTGTGAACCCGACGCACAAGAGGAAGATTCTTGGCCTCGACCAAACATCCCGTCGGAATGTCCCTCAGCAAAGCTGCTTGGAGACATCACAAAGTCCGGCTGCTTGCTGCCCTGGGCTGGTCAAAGTTGTACTTCTGAGGGTGCGCTAGTTTGGGACCACACGTGTGTGAGCAAAGCCTGCGGATTGATGTGAGGAGACAATTGGTTAGTAGTCACTTCTGATGGTTGCCCTCAGACCAGGAAACGCAATCCATGATGATGCCTGAGATGAGCCGAGACCCACAACGGCAAATAATTAGCGCAGTTGCCTATGGATTCTTTCCAGCAACAAACTGGACTCCTCAAGGCGTCACCTTGCCAACGTGAATTGAGGAGGGATCAAATCGCCCCCAACAGATCTACGCAGTGCAAGGCAGCCTGTGTGACTGTTGTTGCTTTGAGGGGCAGCTGCGAATACGCACTCCAAAACTATTCATGCTCGCTCCTCCAAGGCTTCCGGCAGGCTGAACACGTAGAGGTACCCAGGAGAGATCGACACCACCAGTTTTGTCTTGCTGAAGATCGTCATGTCTCCCACCATACGACCACCTCAAAACAAACAGAGGCAGGCGCACCTGGGAGCCTCTGGTGGAATTCCGGCCAAAGCTAAAGCTGCCTTTGCTACCCGCAGCATTGGTGATGGCAAACCAGACAACGACCCAGCACAAGTGTTGCCTGTTCAAAGCCGAAAGAAAGAGCTGACCAGCGCCTCTTGGACTCTTGGGGAGCAGTTGTGGTTAGACAAAATTTTGCCGCATGTACGGGACAAGGCAGCCCAGACACAACGTGGATTTGTCGCTCGCAATCAAAGCTGCCAGGCCACCAAGGGAGAGGTTTCCGCGGGGCGAGCGGCCCGCAAGCAAGTCTAGCCACCGGTAGATCAGGATGGACTTGGAATGCAACGCAACCTTAGTGCGTTGAGAGGGGTCTGACCCTTCGGCCATGTTGGACAACTGGTCAACTCAACCATAAACTTGGCATGGTCGGTCCACCTACTTTGGGCTGTGCTCAGAAAACACATTGTACACAACTCAACGGAACCAACGACGCACAATCGCTCAGCTTGGATTGGCCAGGCTAAGCCACAATGGCATCTCAATGACATACCAAGGAAAGAGCAACTTCTTGCAAAAAGGGATTGCACGCAGAGACTGCGCAGAGAAGAAAGGCGGAGAGACTCCAAAATTGCAACGTGCCTGCGCAAGCTTGTAAGTCCCTCAGCGTCGCACAATAAATGACCGAGGTGAGGAGAGGTTGTAACCACGACTGGCAATCAAATATAAAACCGCGCCAAAACTTTGGCACAACCCGGAAACAAACAAAAAACAAGCTCGACACTGTCAGTGTTATACATTGTTTGGTCGCTGTTCCACAATGTCTGTCATTGTTACCACTCCTTCTGATGACCATTGCGCAAGGGCAGGTGTAATGGCAAAGGATGTCCCAACCGTTGCCTCCCAGTCACCTGCTTATGCATGTCTGCGTTACAGAAGTTGTTTACGCATCGGCTAATTAACAGACTGGCAAACTATTAAAAAGAGGTAAGTTAGTAACTAGCGCAACTAGTTCACAAGCTAACAAAACTGAGTATCCCATTAAGCAGCTACAGCTAGCTAACTTGACTAGCTGGTTGGCTAACTAGCTTGCTCTTGAACTAGCAAAGTAAACCAGCTCAAACTGACTGACTAACAACATAACTAGGAAACTCGCTCGGCTGTCTAGGTCACTGATGATTGAGCAAACTGCCCAACTACCGAAGCTAGCGAACTATCAAACCAGCGAGCTACTAACTAGCTAAATTGCTGGCTAGCTTACTCTCAACCTCGCTGAGTGACACCTAGCACATGATCTAACTAGCTAGGTAGCTAACCTAGCCAAATAACTGGCCAACTACATCAAACAGCTAACTAGCTACAGCAACTGGCAAACAAGCTGAGCCAAGAGTTGGTGTTTTGAAAAAACTGAGGACCCTTTCTTAGCCCAGTCGCTTCTGAACTTGCTAATTAGCCCAGTCCAAGTCAGCGAGCTTGAGCTTATCAGAGCCGGCGAAGCCGGGTGGGAGGAAGTGTCAAAATATAAAAACCAAGTCATCTTGTTGTTTTTATCTTTTTATTTTTCTGTTATTTGTTGTATTTGTTCTTGTTGTTGTTATCTTGTGTTTTTTTCTTTCTTCCTTTGTTCCTCTCTTCGTTTCCCTCGTTCTCTTTCTTTTCTTATTTCTCCTCTGTCCCTTTCTCTTCGCTTTCTGTTTTTTGTATTGGATCTTTCCCTTTATGTTCCTGTTTTTCTTTCTCTTCTGTAGATCTCTCTATTGCTTTCTCTGCTCTGTCCCTTAATCGTTCTCTTTCTCTCCTTTCTGCGTCACTGTCTCTGTCTCTGGTTCATATCTGTCTTTCTTTTCTCTTTCTCTGTCCCCATCATCTGTCTGTCTGTCTGTCTGTCTGTCTGTCTGTCCGTCCGTCTGTCTGTCTGTCTATCTATCTAAAGCAGTTTCTCTAGCCAGCTGCCTCTCTCTCTCTCTCTCTCTCTCTCTCTCTCTCTCCTCTCTCTCTCTCTCTCTCTCTCTCTCTCTATCTCTCAATCTCTCTATCAATCAATCAATCAATCAATCAATCAATCAATCAATCAATCAATCAATCAGTCAGTCAGTCAGTCAAGTCAAGTCAAGTCAAGTCAAGTCAAGTCAAGTCAAGTCAAGTCAAGTCAAGTAAGTCAAATCAATCAATCAATCAATCAATCAATCAATCAATCAATCAATCAATCAAAATCAATCAATCAATCAATCAATCAATCAATCAATCAATCAATCAATCAATCAATCAATCAATCAATCAATCAATCAATCAATCAATCAAATCAATCGGATCAATCAAACAATCAACCAATCAATCAATCAATCAATCAATCAATCAATCAATCAACCAACCAATCAAATCAAACCAAGTCAAATCAAATCAATCAAATCAATTCAAATCAATCAAATCAAATCAAATCAAAACGATCAATCAAATCAATCCATCAATCGATCAATCAATCGATAAATCGATCGATCGATCAATCAATCAAATCAATCAGTCAATCCATCAATCAATCAATCGATCGATCAATCAATCAATCAATCAATCAACCAACGAACCAACCAATCAAATCAAACCAGGTCAAATCAAATCAATCAAATCAATCCATCAATCGATCAATCAATCCATAAATCGATCGATCGATGAATCAATCAAATCAATCAGTCAATCCATCAATCAATCAATCGATCGATCGATCAATCAATCAATCAATCAACCAACCAACCAACCAATCAAATCAAACCAGGTCAAATCAAATCAATCAAATCAAATCAAATCAAATCAATCAAATCAAATCGAATCAATCAATCAATCGATCAATCGATCAATCAATCAATCAATCAATCAATCAATCAATCAATCAATCAATCGATCGATCGATCAATCAATCAATCAATCAATCAATCAATCAATCAATCAATCAATCCATCAACCGATCAATCGATCAATCAACCAAATCAATCGGTCAAGCCATCAATCGATCGATCAATCAATCAATCAATCGATCAAATCAAACCAAGTCAAATGAAATCAATCAAAACCAATCAAATCACATCAAATCAAGTTAAACGAAATGAAATCAATCCATCAATCCATCAATCCAGCAATCCAGCAATCCAGCAATCCACCCACCCCACCCCATCCCGTCCCATCCCGTCCCAATCTGTCTATCTATCCTTTCTATACATCCTTTCTATCCATTTGTCTATCGAACTAGCTAACTCTCGAACTAGCTAACTACATAACCAGCTATCTCGCCAACTAGCTGGCCAACGATTTAACAAGCCAACTTGACTTCACACACGCACGCACGTCGTCAGTGCGGGCTGTCATGCGCCGACGCAGACTGCAGCCAGCAGAGCGCGCAGGCAAAAACGGCGATCTTGCATGCAATGGCACAGGGGGCATGTGCAAAACTATAGCTTTTATGCCTTTGAAATGCCGGACTGTGCTGGTAAAGAGCCCCTCACAACTCTCTGCGAACAGGAAGCAATGACTTCGGCCACTCCGCCCAATGAGCAAGCTTCGGGGAAAGCCCACGGTTTTGGTCGTGGGATTTGATCAAACTATGTGACCTTCGAGACCTTCGCCGGGCAACCAAAATGTGGTCCTCGTAGGCCAAGAACTTGTGCACTCGGCGCCCGACCTGCGACTCGCACATTCCTATCACTCTGTGCATGTGCAGTTGCTACTTCACGAAGTCAAGACCAATCAAGACCTCATTTGAGTAGGCATTGTATTGCTTCACGAGAATCAGCCACCAAATGGCAGCAATGCTTGCAATGATGCTCTTAGCAACCTCAATGTGAAACTCACGGATCTATTACTCTCCCAATCTTCCTCGTAGGATCATGGGGCCCGGGGACGAGGGAGGGGAGGGGTTATTACAGGCCCATGCTAATTCGCTATGAGGGAAGTTCTGTGAATTCGTCGGCAGGGCCACTTTTGTGCAGGGAGTTGGCTACAACTTGATTTACGACACGCTCCTTGGCTGCGCCAAACTCCTTCTTTGCGACCCCTGAGTTGCAGGAGACGAAGACGATGTCACCTCAGTCAACTACATCACTGTGTTGGTCTTCACCAAAGTTTGTTCAGCTGGTTCTCTTCCCTACAAGCCTACAAACATAGCGCATTCCTTTGGCAGCCTCTTGCTGAAGCTTGCTACAAGGGCAAATTTCCACGGATTGTATGCGTGGACACAGGCGTCATGGCCACTCACCGGCTTATATATAGCCTGGACCCTAATACCAGAAAGCAGGCCAAAACAATTTCAACAAAATCCTGATCGTGCCCGTTCTTTGGGACTCACGAAGACAAGAATGCTTGTCAGCACCCTCCGAAACAGGGTTTTATGGCTTTATGGCCATCCATACTTCTTGTGAGTCCCCAAATAACGAGATACCCGTTTTTCAGCATTTTTACCCTATATTTGGCGTGGTCCCAGACAACGAGTCCTTCTTCAAAACTCCAGAACCACCCCGCCGCCACCCCCTGTCCGATCCCGAGCCGCTCCCGCTCGCCAGACCGGCAAGGGCCACTATGAGGCGGTCCCCATAGGCCAGCATGGTGAGGATTTCCCCGCTCTGAGTCGCAGGGCCGGGTTTTTGGGTCAGCGTGTGGCTTCTTTGCATGGCTTGAGATTCAATGAAAAAACGCTGTTACCCGTAAAGGAAAAAACCCCAGCTTCCGCAATCGCCGCCAACCCAAAAATCGTTTACGCTGGCCATTTTTAGAAGGTGGGGCTTACGGATAGCTCGTGCCTGATCCTCCGCGAGCAAGAGGCGCCAGTATGACAAAACAACAGCTTGCAGATGGAAAGGCGCAAAGGCTTTGCTGCACAGGCTCAGCAGTGACATGGAAGGCCGAAAGTTCATAAAGGCCAGGAAACTTTTAGGGGCCCGAAAACTTTCCTTAGAGGTTGCATCATTCTGGGTCTCTTTGGTGGCCACGCATGTAGATTCAGTGGAAGGGACGGCATGTGAGAGTGTTTGGTGAAAGTTTCAGCGGGTCGGGAAAAACCTTTTCAAGCCCCAAAAAGTTTCCCACAAAATTCCGTTACAGCGCGGTGTGGCTTCGCTTCTTTCCTGGGAACTGGCTGGCTTCCGTTTTTTCTTGCAGCATTTTGTAAGCCGTTTGTAAGCTGCGCCAAACCCTTCCCACACTCTGTCTGACGCAGGCCCAATCACGCTCCACAAGTGCTGTTTTTGGTTTTTTTGGTTGCCCCCCATGTGATGTGGATTCAACCGAAAGGAAAACAAGTTATCCCGGCAAGAGACCCCAAATAGTATTGGGATTAATTTGACTGGCCCGGAAGCATAGAAAGACGCTAAATAAAGGTGAGAAACAAGCGTAAACACATCAATGTCCCTTCGTAGCTGCTGCAAGTTCTGATGAGCAAGCTTCGCGCCGCGCTTCAGAAAAACATATTCTGTCAACTTCTCTTGCGCGCTACGCTGTGCTTTGAGGCTGCTGCGCGTGAAGCTACGCGTGATGTTGCGCATGATGCTGCAGGCATGATGTTGCACACGATGCTGCGCGTGACGTTGCGCGCGACGCCGTGCATGATGCTGCGCATGATGCTGCGCATGATGCTATGCGTGACGGTCCCTCTCGAGCATGATGCTGTGTAACCTCTCTCGCCCAACCTTTCATGCCCCTTTCTCTTGGCAACCTCTGTTCTCCAATGTTCTCCATATCTGCGTGCAGTGTTAGCTTCGCAAGAAGGCTGGCGGTTTTAGTTGCAGAAGCATACTTGGCACACTACTTTTGCGCCTGCAAGTTGCGATTTTCGAGCTGGAGAAGTGAGAGCGCACTTTCCGAACATCACATTCGCCCTTAAAAATTGAAGTTGCGATGATCGAGCTGGAGCTGCGAGGGCGAGCGCGCTTCGCACGCTACCTTTGCGCGAAAACACTTTCGACTTTGCAGCCGAAGCGGGATCCATTCTTTTGTAGCCCAAAGTGCTTGCGTCTGAAGAAGTTCCCCTTCCCCACAAAAACTTTTCGAGCCCAGAAAAGTTGTTGGTTGCGAGGCGCCTTTTACCAAAAAGCTCGCAGCTGGGGAAAAGCTTGTCGAGCCCCGAAAAAGTTTCCCACAACACCCTTTAGAGCGCGGTGTGGCTTCGCTTCTGCCCTGGGAACTGGCTGGCTTCCGTTTTTTCTTGCAGGTCAAAGCCTTTTGCCAGGCAAGTTTTAAGTACAAAAGTACGTGAAAAGCTTTCAGAGAGCTCGGGCTGCAAAATCGCAACTCTTAAGTGCAAAAGTGGCGTGCGAAGTGCATTCCCAAGGGCAAATGCGCTTTCAACCACTAACTGGCGCGCAGAATCGAACTCTCACACTTCCTCGGCCAGGAAGAAAAGCAGATCTTAGCCACTACGCGACGAAGTCTTGATATCCTGGGTGGCTGTCACAAAATTGAAGCCGCTGTCAATGCGTGAAGCCCCCCAAACAAAAATCGGGGCTCGAACCGTTTTTCCGGCCGAAAGAGCCTTGTTGAAAAATGCTTTTGCCGGCGGCAAAAAGTGCCTCGCAGCCAACAGAACTGGTCTGGGCGGTGCTTTCCAAGCCCGAGGAGGCCCAAACGTAAACAACCGTACGCCAGGGTTCCTGCCGCAATTTTTATCTTCAGCCTCTGGCTTGCCAGGCACGTTCGCGTCAGCTCGCCGTGAAACTCATTAATACAGGTTTATCTAAACGTATAAAAACACAAACTAAAAGTGGGTCAATAATTTGTAGAGGATCTTATAGTAGGCGTAATTTGCGTAAACGTACTCAAGATTATAAAAGACAAGCAAGAGACACGGGAAAATACTTAATCGTGTTGAATACAAGAGAGTACCTATGTGTTTACCATACTGTCTATAAGATATAGAATAAGTTAAATGAAGCGAGTGTTATGTCCTGTTCAGTCAAGATTAAAACGTAAGAGCAAAAAACTTCTAAAGGATACGGAGGAAGAAGAAAGCAGTGTGTTACAGTTGCTAGACTAGCCGATCAAAAAGCATATTTGTATCGCTATAGAGATAGGAAAATACAGTAAGAGATCTGAAACGATTTGCGATTTCTCGCAGAAATGCATTTGCTAATCACAATACTCTGAACTCTCAACATTGATGTTTAATTTACGAAAAATATGACTTATAAGTCTATGATATGAGAACTTGCTATTAAAAATCCAGAACACTTGAAAAGTTTATGCGCTTAAAAAAGAGGGAAAAGCCTCATCCTGCCTATCAATGTATAGCAGATGCATATTGCGCGCTAGAAAGTATAGGTTTTACAAGAGCTTATGGGAATTAGATTTCTGATAGTGATGCCTTTGATGTATTACATATTTCTAAAGATCATCCTAGCAGAGATTCTTCTGATACTTTCAATGTTAATAAAACAATACAGCCTGGAAGAACTCAAAATGACAATCAACATACTCTTGCAAGAGTTGCATGTTATATGAAAAATATTACGCATTATAAATTAAAACCGCCTTTTAAAGTATTTTGTATCAGCCCAGCACATAGAAATGATGAAGAGGATTCAAGTCATACTGCAACTTCTTTCAACTTGATATTTTAGGTGTAGATAGAGGTATGTCTTTTGCTCATGTAAAAGATGTCTCAACAATATGGTAAATATGCTTAATTTTCATAATTCAGGGCTTATAGATTTTGTTCCAGCTTATTTTCCTTTTCCAGAACCTTCTGCACAATTATATTATAATATATGGAATTAATGGGATGTGGATTGCTAGCGCAAAAAGTATTAAAAAAAAACAACAAAACAAAAAATCAGTTAAACATTTGCTGATTGGGATGCTTTTCTCATGCCTTTGGGCGGCTGTCACCCAGGCGTAAGCGTAAACAAGTAACGTCAAAAAAACAAGCCCGCGGGTCAACATGTTGCTTTCCAAGCCCGCAAAAACAAAAAATGTGAAAACCACTTCCAGGGCTCGAAAAATGGTTTTCCACACTCGAGCTTTTTTTACTCAAGCTGGCCAACACGCTGTGGGTGGAAAAAATGCAGATGGTTTGCACTAGTAACCCAATGGTCAAACAGCGGGTGTCTGAGCCTGAACAAGCTGTTCACTCAAAGGGTCCCTTTCCCTGTTGCTCGAAGGAACCCATTCCAGCAGTTTGCCCCCATTGTCACGCCTAAAAGCATTGTGCGGACAATAACAACCTCTACCAAGCAATCCGAACGAAAAACGGGTCTGACAAACAGAGCTTACGAAAAGCTTGCGACGTGTGACTCATGCATGAAGCTTACGCAGGAACTTGTGATCGCTTACGAATTTTTGCAAAATGCTTACGGCTGCAAGAGTAATTTCCAGTTTCATACAAATTGCCATCTACGGAGGTTTTTTCGCCGCTCAAATGGCTTTTCCTCAAGATGAACCCGGAGCATTCAGTGGAAGTGAACTTAGCAGAGCTGAAAAGGTCTCGCGTGACAGCGCGCACCCAGCTCACCCCAAAGCAGCACTTCATCCCTGCATCCTGTGAGTAAGCGTCTTGAGACCGCAAAGTCCAAGAATCCAAGCCCTACACCACAAGACAACCAACCAGCTCAAACACGGAGCCAGCACGTGAGCTGTCCTCAAGAGCTCAGGAGCAACCTAATAGTCTACTGTACCCGCCGACTTGGAACCGCTTGCAAGTCCAAATGGTTATCCAGGAGACCAACCCTCTCAAGACATATTGGCTTCAAGACTGAGCGTTGTTTGGTGGTTTGGAGTGGTTGCTATGCTTGGAGGTTGGCCCACCCTGTCCTAAACATCCGTACCAAAGATTGAACATGTCTGCAAAAGTCTTCTGAACTGGAAAAACAGGGTCCCAGTCCTTTGAATCCCTTGCGGCCCAAGCAGCAAAGTAAAGCGCGGCAGTGGGCATGTGTTGCCCGATTTCGTGGGCGGGGTAAAACCTGAGATGCGAACCCATGTTGGCCCTTGGGCCCTTGTGAGCATGGCTTACACAGGGTGCCAAGGCGCTTGCTTTGCTTGGGGCCTCGCAGGTGTTTTTGGGGCCCCCTCGCAAGTCAAGCCAATCGGCCGGCTCAATGGTTTACGCAGTTGGTTGCGTTTGGTTTTCCAGCCCCCCATCTCGGGGCTTGAGGGAAAGTTTGGGCTTGGCACGGGGCAAGTCGCAAGAGGCGCCCTAGCACGCTCAAAGGTTGGCCGTGGCCGGGTTTGAGCAAGAGCGCTCTGCACCCCCTTACTCTAATGCGCGCATGGCGGTCTACAAGGCAGAAAGAAGCTCCTTCATGCTTCATGGCACGAGTGGCTGCGAACTGCACAGAGCCTCTGCTCATGTTGGCGTACAGGTGTGACAGCTGGATTCGCGCACACGCAACGTAGATCTGCCTTATGCATGATGGCTTGCCAGTGCACAGGCAACAACCTCTCATAGGTTAGTTAACCCCCCCTCCGTATCCCCCCCCCTCAAATGTGATTTTGAGTGGCATCGGGTCCAAAAATGAAGAAACATTTTCATTTTGAATCTTGGGCTTAGTGGGGCTTAGTGGGGCTTAGTAGGGCTTAGTGGGCCTTAGTAAGGCTTAGTAAGGCTCAATCATGTTTTTTGCTTCGAGTGCTAGCAAGGCTTAGCAGCTCTCAGTAAGACATGGCCACCACTCAAAATTGATCATGAGTGCTACTGAGTCTTGCTGAGTAGTTGGAACCGTAATGATTCCTATGGGTGCTGTCATTTTCTTAGCGGGCATTTGTGCTGCAACTGCGCCGCGCACTGAACACCTGGGAATTGAACATCAGCGGATGCAGACCTAGTAGCACTCAAAGGCACTCAATAGCAATCAGCAAGCGCTCACTAGCGTTCAGAAAGCACTCGGTAGCAGACAAAAGGCACTCAGCAGCACTCAGCACCACTCAGCAGCACTCAGTAACACTCAGTAGCACTCAGTAACACTCAGTAACACTCAGTAGCACTCAATCACAACCTAAAACAGAATCCCGGCTCAAGTATGCACACTCAGCAGTGGCACCCAGGATCTCTCAATCACCCCCCCAGAACACAGCACATGGGCGATCCAGGCTCAGCAACTATTTAGTAGCACGCAATGACGCTTCGAGCCCCGGGCAAGCTTCAACAAATCCAGCTTTGCTATGCAAAATTGAAAGCAACCCCGCCCCCCCCCCCCCCACACATGCCAAATCCTTGCTGGGCTCTGTAGTGCTTAGCAACACTCGGTGAGTCTTACTGAGATTTTGACATTTGGGAGGGGGGGATACGGGGGGGGTTAACTAACCTATGAACCTCTGCACGAACAACACACACACACCGGTTGCAAAATAAACAGTGTGGATTGAATATCTTCCATGAATGTTCCTCAGCTGACCTTATGAGTCGAGCTTGTACAGTGTCACAGGCTTGACACATATCCACGCAAGTATCAGTATGATATGGGCTTGAACGAGCGTACGAAGGAGAGGACGATTAGATGCTTCACGGTACGAATCAGCGACGCACCGGACTGAGCTGAAGGGCCATTTTTGCGTTCAGGTGCAGGATAGGCCGAGTAGCACGTTGGGTGCAGGCGGGGCACCGGCCGGAATGAAAAACTGTTTTCAGATGCGAATGCATCTGTCGAGTCTGTATATCCGCGACGCGCGCACAGTGCATTGGCTGAACAATGGAACAAGGGTAGCTTGGTCACACACTCTCGCGGGGATGCACCGCAGAGGTGAAGAAGAGTTGATAAAAATCCCACGGCAAACCCCACCCCGAAGCATAGAACAACCAAACGCACGTACAAAAATCCGCTTAAAAATCGACGGCCGTCGTCTGAGTCAGTGGAGCTGCCCCGTCAGCATGAAGCCTCTAGGCCGCAGTGTAGCAAATGTTTGGGGCTGCGGCTGCAAAAATGTCAAAAAGCAGGCCTTCTGCGACGCGGTTGGCGAGGTGTAGTGGTAGAGTACCATGTGTGTGTGTGTGGTGTTGGAGGATGCTGTTCAGCGCAGATCTACGGCACACCTCTTGTCTACAGCACACCGTGGGGTAGACTGTATAGCGCACAGGGCACGACATGTCCAACCCGCACAGCAGAAGCGCAGCTTGTCTCCAGCCTTGGACGGACTGAGTATTGCAGCTGGGCTCCGGGGGTGTTGGGTCAAGGTCTTGCATAAGTACCCTTCTTGAACAATGCGCAAGGCGCGCGGCTTAGCAGGGCTTTGGGACTGCGCGTGACGGGCAGCTTGAGGAGAAGGTGAATTGCAAGAATTCAGCACCCAAGCGAGACCGGCGCAAGCCATATGTAAAGCGTAAAACCCAAACCAAGCCTCAGAAAGGCTAGATCATTCACTTACGAATATGGAATCTCACGGGCAGGGAAAACCACAGAGCAATGAATCCAGCCAAACCATGTTAGTTGCTTCCCCAGATTTACAACGCTCAGGATCAACATGCTCAACTTGGAATGGGGAGTCAAAAGGTTCCTTCGTCTCTGGCACAGTGGCTCGCATGCCAGGTGGCTCAATGCGGCTGTTCTTCTCGAGACTTGCATAATCGTCTCCGCTAGCCACCGCCAGTGTGGCCGGGGGCATCAGCGCTACAGCCAGCACACTCTCCTTGGCAAGCCACAGAAGCCGTTGGATCAGCCTACCCAATTCAAATTGGGCAGTTGCCTCAGCCCCCAAACCACCAATCGGATGCTGGACAGCCTTTGCAGGGCCTTGTCAGGATGTCTCCAGTCATCCCAGCCGTCCTTTGCGCCAGCAAAATGCTGCAGAGGCTCCCTCGCGTTAAGCGGCGTGTGAAGCTCCACGCTCGGCAGGGTCTCTGCACAATCAGCAGCAGCGTCCCATACCTGATATAGGATGTTGGCAGTGTCAAGTTCAGAAGCTGATGGAAGTGCGCTGCCTTAAGGCTGTTGAGGTAGAAGCAGAACATGGAACAGAACATGGTCACTCGTTGACCCCTCACCCTTAGTCGAGGTCACTATGATTTGGTCAGACTCCGTGCAGTTTGCACACAAGACTGATTCTGCCTGTCCGCAAGTGGCGCTCACTCTACTTCAGGCGTCACATGCATCAGTTCATGTTGCTTTCTGGTCTATTGTTTGGCGCGGGGGGTAGGGTTTGCCGGGCCCCATCCAAAGCCCAACTGGCTGTGGGTCAAAAATGGGTACCCAAGATGAAAGCTGGGTAAATGGAAGGATTCCCGAGGCGCATCGACCGACTGCACACCCGGGGTGAAAATCAGCCTGCCATCCGTCTGCGCAGCACTGGTGCCAGAGTACCTCTTGGCCGCTACCCTCCATGCAAACCAGGCTCAGAATATGGCTGTGGGTCAAAAATAGGTACCCAAAATGGAATCCTGGCAAATGGAAACATGGACCAAATCCTGCGGTCCCCTGGTGGTTTAATTTTGACCCATACCCATATGAATCCGCTAGAGATATGAAACATCTAGCGAGTCCCCTGGTGTTTGCGGTAAACTAGTGTTTCCATGTCACTCCCAAATGCACCATGGACTGCTGACAGACTAGCCGAATTGTATGCGATGGCATGCACACGGTAGTCGTGAATGCCCGTGTACACGACTATTACAGTATAGAACATGTGTGTGTGTGTGTGTTGCCATCTGCTTTGAACTGGTCTCGCTGGCATGGTTTGTGAGTGCTACTTGACACATTCGTCGGCTTCGCCACAGACCAGCTGCGCCGGCAGCGGGGTCAGAGATGGTCAGTTACAAGCTGAACCTAGTCATTCTCTTGAAGCATCTGCGCACCCTTTTCTCCGTTGTCAATTGCACTTGTTGAAGCCAAAATGTGGTCCAGTTGACAATCGACCCACCTGCGCGCGGTGTCTTGGAAAACAATGTGATTGCATAAAAGTGGAATTGGCGCTCATACTATGGGTTGGAAGGAATGCATGCTGCATTTTGTTGGCACTCTTCCACGGATGCTTTGAAAGAACTGACAAGGCAATTGCATCATTAAAGAAAGTGCTGGCGTGATAGACACGGTCAGTTGACTAAGTGACTGGAATTCCTGGCAACTCTTTCGGCCACGTCACACCAGAACCAGCAAAGACGGCTCGATGGAGTCTTTGCTCACAGGAGGTCTCTCATCTGCCGACCCTCCCGCGAAGCCGACCGATGACAAATCACGGCTCACCAGCGGCATGGCAGTGCCGGCCACATGCGCCCAGGCGCCGCAAAGGTGTTCAAAGGTTCTGGGCGATGCAAAACTGGGAAGCTTGAAGCTCTTTCAATGGGTGTGGATCCACGCGGGTTGAAAAGAAGGGAAGAACTGCTAGCGTTTGACTTGCACTTGGACAGCATGGTTTTCCTGCGCATAGGTAGTTGTGTTGATGACTTGTGGGGCACTTTTGGAGAAAGCCAATGGGCCATACCAGGCTGAGGTGAATGTGCTGCGAGGCACCCAAGACATGATGAGATAAATGCAATATCTGTCCTGGTAGTAACCTTTGACAACACTCAGGAAAATATTGTTTTGTACAGTTGTAGGTTGAAATGTATTCAGTAGCGCGTTGAATAAGAACTGACTGTAGCAACATGGGCTTTTGGCTACTTCCCAGTCAGAATCGAGATATCTGCCCAATGGATGCGTCCTATTTCTGCTCGAGTCTGCCGCATTCACAGCTCAGGCAAACTGAGCAAACTGAGCACTGGAAATGGGGCATCATAACTAGAATTCACAACACCAAGGACACCTGCCAGGATCTATTTCAAGGAAGCTAGAAAAATGCCAACTCGGTGCAGCCTCAAAAAACCCAAAGTACAAACGAAGGGCTTGTTTGGCTGTATCGGACCAATATGATCCTGTGTGAACGGGGGAAAGAGACATTGCAATTTTAATGTTTTTTGGCAGCAAATGACAGCCGGTACGATGCGCAAAATAAGACAGGCTGCTTCTTGCGCGGCTAACAGGAATATGGTAGTGTGATGATTCTGGCCCGCTGGCCCTTGTCACAACTGCGCCAATGCCACCCAGCGCACCTGGCAAGGTGGAGACCGCCAGCCCCAGCCATGCCCACGTAAGCCATGTGAGCCACGGCATGGGCTGGGCTGTGACAACTGCAAACAAAATGAAGCTATGGGTTGCATGCCCCGAAGCACGGCTGTTCAACATGACAAATGGCGCTGGCTATTGGAAGGAGACTTGATTGCTGGGCAGCGGTTCATGCATGTTGCCTGCTGGGCATGTTGCGATGCCCACCAAGGGGCAAACATGCCCCTCGAGCCAAGACAGTCGCGATTGTACTTCTGTTGCATGTTAGTTCTCACTGCAGCCTGGTTGACGCATGCGAACGCATGCCAACGCACCTTTGGAAACACTGCAGTGTGGCTAGCTTAGAGCAGTGCCCTGGGCACGCAGCCTTGTGCTAACGCTCGTGCACCCAAACAGAAGTCACCTCCGAAGCTGCCGGCCCACGAAGTGATCTTTTTGCCCTGAAACCGCCAATGGTCTCCAAGTGATAGGGAAGCACTTCGTGGGCGCGCTGCGTAAACCATGGGTGTGCGTTTGTCTCGGGGTACCCTTTCAACCTTTCAAAGGGAACCAATGGGTACCAAACTCACCGCCCGCTTATCCAGAACCTCAGAGCTGTGCTAAATATGCCCACAGCTTTTCTTCCGGAGCTTCATGGAATCTCAGCCCTCAAACTCAACCCGCAGTCGATGGCCAGCCGAGTCTGAAAGCTTCAGCCTCATGTCTGGGCTCAGTCCACACAGGCATCACACAGTTTTAGAAGCCTTCCAGGTCCACTCCGGCAGGCAACTTGAGACTTGGTGAACAAACCCAAAACACCGAAGACATGGCCATGGGTCAAAATCCAAATTGTACCCCCAGTGAACATCCCAATCCCCACTAAAATAGGTTCTAAAATGAGTGGTGCACCTACCCCAAAAAGGGATCCCATTGGTTTTGACAACCACAGCCACATAAGCGACCCCAACACCCCAAAACCCCCAGCCCAATTCATCCCTTTCCTTCATGGACATCAGCACGTCCCGCAGCTCCCCTGAGCGCAGCTCCTCGGCCTGCATTGCTCACGGCTTTATTTGATGCATCAATTGCACCCTAGAGGAAACGTATAGGAAACCCCTGTTAAACCGAATGAATCCTATTTAACCCAAAGGAAGCCAGTTGCCCTCTTTCCAACAAACATGGAATGGACAGGCGGCTTGCCCACAAGGAAAGTAGTCTTCCAACCATGCTTGTTGGAGGGAGGGTACGTATATAGGAAGCCAGAAGGAAACCTACAGGGAACCCACTTATACAAGGGGCAACACTCTAGCCAGAATGTCGAACAACTGCCATCTTGGGTACCCGCAATCAGCAGTGTTGACGGCAAATAGCTCAAATGGGGCGCTGTCAAGGGCCGCGAGGAATAAGCCCTGACTTCTGCTGATGCAACATGCGCTGCTGTTCTTGTGGGAGCCGAGCTACAAAGGATGATGGACGGGATGTCACCAGGAGCTGGAAGAGTCGCATATGTACGATTTCGGACAGCATTCCTCTAGAATTCTGACGGATTGCTGCTTCGTTTCGGGTTAAAAGGCTTTCCCTTTTCAGCGCAACGTGCTCCCAAAAAGTTCATGCCATTAAGTCGTTTTTCAACACTGCGAGGTTGCCTATGTGTGAAGCACGTTGTGATGTGCTGACAATATTGGCACATGTCATGCCACATGTGCAGCACGCCTGACAAGCGAGCACCAAGCATCACATGCTTTCAGCACGGCACCCAATATGTGTATGTATGTATGTATGTATGTATGTATGTATGTATGTATGTATGTATGTATGCATGCATGTATGTATGTATGTATGCATGTATGTATGTATGCATGCATGCATGGGGTGTGTGTGTGTATGTATGTATGTGTGTATGTCTGTATGTGTGTATGCGCGTGTGTGTGTGTATGTGTGTGTGTATGTGTGTCTGTGTGTCTGTGTGTCTGTGTTTGTGTATGTGTGTACGTGTGTATGTGTGTATGTGGGTGTATGTGTGTGTATGCGTGTATGTTTGTGTATGTGTGTATGTGTGTATGTGTGTGCATGTGTGCATGTGTGTATGTGCGTATGTGTGCATGTGTATGTGTGTGTGTGTGCGTGTGTATGTGTGTATGTGTGTATGTGTGAATGTGTGTATGTGTGTATGTGTGAATGTATGTATGTGTCAATGGGTGAATCTGTGTATGTGCGTATGTGTGTATGTGGGTATGTGTGTATGTGTCAATGTGTGTATGTGTGTATGTGTGAATGTATGTATGTGTCAATGGGTGTATCTGTGTATGTGCGTATGTATGTATGTATGTATGTATGTATGTATGTATGTATGTATGTATGTATGTATGTATGTATGTATGTGTATGTATGTATGTATGTATGTATGTATGTATGTATGTATGTATGTATGTATGTATGTATGTATGTATGTATGTATGTATGTATGTATGTATGTATGTATGTATGTATGTATGTATGTATGTATGTATGTATGTATGTATGTATGTATGTATGTATGTATGTATGTATGTATGTATGTATGTATGTATGTATGTATGTATGTATGTA